ATTTTAAATGCATTATTTTTGCAAGACACATTTATAAAGGAATAAAGTAAAAGATTAAATAGCCTTTTTTTTTAAGTAGCGTACTTAAGATATGTTTCTGTTGAATATTTACGAATCTCAGATTTCCGACATGTGTCCCCCCCAATTGTAAACATATTCCTACGCCCTTGCTTGAATATGACGGAGCCTTTATCTCAGTGCACCCTTCATCCCAATACATATGCATTATTCTAAGCAAAGGACAGAACAGGAATGAACAAGTTATGCCAAAGACCTACAGGGATGTTTCATTTTCTCTTGTTTTAAACAGTGGTGTCAAAAGTACACACTTTTGTTACTTAAGTAGAAATATAGATACTGCAGTTTAAAAACACTCTGGTAAAAGTTGAAGTATCAACTTGACCTCTTTACTCAAGTAAAAGTGAAAAAGTATGTGCTCCAAAAACTACTTAAAGTATAAAGTAACCTTTAAAAAAAAAACAGCCAGATGCCACTAGATGAATTGAAAGCTAAATTTTTAGGCTATTTCTAAAAGTTAATTGAGACAGGGCCAAGGATGAGGGAGGTCTTGTTGGCCTCCATCTCCATCTCCCGATACGTTCTCGCCTGTGTCCGAGCTTTCAGACATTTCAACATCTTTTTCTGAATCCGACATTGTAGCATGGCATAGACAATTCACGTTTGCAGTTTGAAGAAGACCTGCTTGCTTCTGATCATTTCCTTTGGTGCTTTCAGCACAAATTTGATGAATAGCTAACCAATTTGCGTTATATGACTCATCCAATTACACTAGTTTTCACTAGATGTGGATGGAGCCAATAATCTGCTTTGGATGGCGCACATGACGAGAAATAAATATTTATAAACATTAAACTGAAGCCAAGAGTAACGAGTAAAGTTTGTTTTAAAAATGTAAGGAATAGAAAGTACAGATACTTGTGTGAAAATGTAATGATTAGAAGTAGAAAGAAAAATAAGTAATGGAGTAAAGTATAGATACCTAAGAAGTGTACTTAAGTTACTTGACACCTTTGGTTTTAATGCATTTGAAAAAATGTCTTTGATACCCAAACACATATGGGAAGGTAGGAACATGGGTGGTTAGTTAATTATGACCTAATCAGACAAAATTCCTTTTTTTATATAACATATACTGTCTTATAAGGTCGTGAGACACAGTACCTGGTTGTCCCCTCTATGAAGCCAAGGACCTGGGACATAAAGAGTTTGTTGTGGTCCAATAGACCAGTATCTTCCCAGATTCCTGCCATTTATGAACACAACCCCTTTGGTCCATCCCTGTGAACAAAGGTTACAAATATTCTCAGTTTTTATTCTTTCTGATATTAAATGGTCTTAGATTCTAAGAGACATAGCAGACATTTTACAACCTATGAGAGATCTTTTTAAGAATGAAACATCACAACAAATTTACATGAAAACTCAAAAACTCCCTTAAATAGTGAAAATACATCTTTTTATGAATGTGTCTGGGTAGGTGGTGGTCAGGAGGTGCAGTTACAGCACCTGTCACTGCACCTAGTCTTAGATAAAGTAGCTGTGGCTACAATGAAGCAAACAACCTTTCCATAAATGCTTTTTGTACGCGCCTTTTGAGGTATTGTATTGGAAGATATTGGTGGAAACAGCAAAAATTCAAATAATCTGACTAAATTTAGCAAAAAAAGTGTTTAGCTGAGGTGATTTTTTTTATTTTTATTTTTTTTAATAAAGAGAATGTTCTAAAGAGAATTTCTTATGAATTAGAATAGATTTCTTATGTAGCAACCATTTCTGTTGCTGGCATCCTTAAAGCTACAGTGTGTAATTTTCAGCGACATCTAACGTCCAGACTGCAGACTGCAGCAACATGAACATCTCCCCCCCACCGCTTCTCCCCCCCAACAGTACGGCGAGCGTTACGGGACAAAATGTCTTCCACGACGTCCGCATCACCTACCTTCTCAAGTAATGAGGTTTGTTTACATAGATAATTTTACAGATAGTATTTCATTAGTCTGTGTGTTCAGTACCGTCTCAGTTCATCTCTCTCAACTTGCCGTAGTTACTTTCGAGCGTAATGGGCGATCTCGCAATCGCTAGTTTGTTGGCTCTGCGTTGCCGTAGCGCAAAGATGTCTGCCTCCATGGCTGCGAGACCCGCTCCTATGTAATTATAAATAACGAATTCTAAGGCAACGCAAATATTAAGGTTAAGAGGCTGAGCTCGTAGATGATGATAAATAACATAGTTATGTATAATATATTAGATTTCTGACTGTATATCCCTGTAATTATTACACACTGTAGCTTTAATACAATAATTAGTCTTGCACTTCTTTCTCTATGTATACCGATGGCATACAACATTGATAATACTAGCTTAAATGATAAAAAGTAAAACTTGTGCAATTGCAAAACCATGTTCCATTACTAATCTTTGGTCCACACCAAGTTGTTACCACTGCTGATTATTGCAGCCAATCTTCAACATATCATGAAATTGCACTTTGGATCGCCTGGTTCATTTTCTCCAGTGGAAGATGATACATATAATTACGATTTTTTATTTTTTTTTTGACACTCCAAAAGGTTGCTGCAAACATGAGAATTGCATGGACAGACAGTTACTGACTGAATGTAATGGAGAGTGCTTTGGAATCTTCAGACTTGATGAAGGGCAATAGAAGTACAGGTCATTTACCATTTTTATCATATCTACACACATGAACAACATTGTTGATACCCCTTGTTTAAAGACAAACAAAGGTCACGGAAATAACTTAAATCCGACCGAACTAACAAATAAAAATGTATTAAACTGAAGAAATTACTCAGACCATTACTTTTCAATCATGCTTCAACAAAATAAATAAATAAAAAAACTCACGAAACAGGCCTGGACAAAGATGATACCCCAAGAAAATACCTGTTATATTAAGGTGTGTTTACTTATTATTATCACAGATGTCTGCATATTGAAATATCTATGGCTGTTGACATGGTATGTACCACACTCAACATGCACCAGAGGAAGTTGTCATAATCATTGTTTTCAACTTTTACCTGGGTGAGAGAACTTAGGAGCATAAAATGGCACTACCTGTCTAAAGCCTTCACAAAAAGCAGTGCAAAAATCTCTAAATAGACTTAACCCATTATGTGCTTATGATGTCTGCTATTTAACATCAACCAAATATAATAGACAGTTTTTTTCACATTTTTTGAGACTTGATGTATTTACTAAAACCAATTAAAATTTAGGTTACAAGAGCCCTGAAAAACTTTGGAAGAGATTAAAGGTGAACCTTAAGTTCAAGGATCATCATGTCAGATCGCCCTATCCATCATTGTTTGAGCCAAAGTGAACTTAACGCAAGATGATCACAGAGGACACCATCGTTGAAAACCAATCAATGTCAGACTGGAATTTGACAAAATGCACATTGACAAACCACAAAGCTTCCGGAAGAATGTCCTATGTACAGATCAGACACTAATGGAACTTTTTGCAGAGCAGCTCTATGTTCAAAGATGGAAAAATCAAGCATATCAAGAAAATTACACTGTCCTTTGAAGCGTGGAGGAGGCTCAGTTATGCTCTCTGTCTGCTTTGCTTTATTTGGCACAGGTTGTCTGAATCTCTGCAGGGTAATATTCAATTTCAAGACTGTCAAAAGATCCTAGAGAGAAATGTGCGGCCCAGTGCCAGAAAGCTTGGTCTCAGTCGCAGGTCATGGGTCTTTCAAACGGATAATGACTCAAAATGCACAGCTAAAAACAAGAATGGCTTAGAGGAAATCATTGGACTATTCTGAAGTGGCCTTCTATTAGCCTTGACCTACATCCTATTGAGCATCTTTGGAAGAAGCTGAAACACTCTGTCTGGAAAAGCCACCCGTAAAACCTGAGGCAACTGGTGCAGTTTACTCATGAGGAGAGGGCCAATATATCCACTGAGAGGAGCAGACATCTGCTTGGCAGTTACAGAATCATTTGATTGCAAGGATTGCCCAAAAAGGTTATGCTGCAAAATATCCGGTTACGAGTTCCATTGTTTTGTCCTGACCTTTTTCGTTTGTTTTTGTTTTTCTTTTATTGATGCATTGAAGCATGGCGGAAAAGCAATGTTTGACTTTCATTTGTTTATTTTGATAGAAACTGTAAAAATGTTGTTCACTGTTTAACTAAATCCGTATCTTCCCGTTATTTATAATTATAATGCTGGACTGCTTATTTTTGGGCTGAGATGTGAACATATTAATAATACTTTCTAGCATGTTTTAAATGAGTACAGTTTTGACTAGGTTTGCCAACTGTCCCTTGAAATACGGAATTGTTGTGTATTAATAAGTAAAAGTACCTGTCCCGTATTTAGTGTAAAAGCAACGCAATTTGTCACGTATTACTGTGAAAGTAAAAAAAATAGTCAGTAAAAAGCTAATGGGAAACGAAGCACAAGGGCATGTTAGATATAAAACTTTTTTTTTTTTTTTTAAAGATATAAAACTTAAGGTAAACTTCCTGGGCCCTGTCCTGAGTTGTGACCAATGAGCTGACAACATATATGTAATGATCCAGAATAGCCTCATCCCATTGGTCGAGCCAAGTGTTGCTCACGGAGAAGATAGCGGGAGACAACAGAACAGTATGGGGGACGAACCGAGTAATTTAAATGCTGACGCTGCTTTCAGGGTTAGACAACTCTTTGCTGCTGCAAGAGCTCAATAAAATACAAGTAATACAAGGAAATACAAGTGGAAAAAGTAGGCTATCGCTCTTCGGGCTAATGACTTATTTTTTTCAGTTTTACAACTGTAGCCAAAAGTCAATGCATTTAAGGCACAAATATGTTTACAAGTTTGCACAAGTTTGCTGTTGCACCTAAAAATGTGCACTATTTATTTATTGTTTTATATTCATTTTTAGTTTGAAGTTAAGCAGGACAGGCTTATGTTTAAGATACTTATTTTATTCAGCAGTTTGTTATTTTGTATTAAAGTGAATTGCTGGATAATAATTTGTTTTCCATGTGTTCATATCACTCAGAAATTAGATGCATATTTGTGAGTAACATGAACACATGGAAAACAAATTATTATATATACCGGTAGTAATATATAGTATATAGTTTTTAAAAAAAATTATTTCATACAGAAAGCGGGGCTACAAAAAAAATCACCATTCAAGGAGGGGTAAAGGCAATCGGGTCAGCTGGCACCCACATGAGGTGTCACTTCTTTTTATCTTCTGGGAGTTGGCAACACTAGTTTTCACCCAAAGGTCCTACTTACAGGAAGTTTGATGAAGGTGTCTTTAGGAGGGACGTTCACATAAAGTTTGCCATGGAAAAAGGCTGGGAAGGCAGGCTGCTGCTTTTGCATAGACACCCATTGGCTTGAACTCTGAATTCTGTATGAGGGGAAAGAGAAAAATATACAGTATATACACACACATTAATCTGTTTCAAAACATTCTCAACTTCCAAATTTATAAAAAAAAAAAATATATATAAAAACCTTTAGAAAATGGTTGACGGTAAGAAAGCAGAATATTCTGTCTTTCATAAAATATTTATTGGAGTGCAGTGAATGCAGGGTGAAGGTTTGGAAATCAATGGCAGGGATAGTATTCATATTCACGAAGACGGTGGGTTATGTCTGGCCCCCTAGCAAATTCACAAGCCTTTCACACCAGAAAACCAACAGCACTTTCGCGGGTAGGATTTTCTTTTGTTCGATTATAAGGGGCTTCAGGCCTTGACCTTTTCAAAATGGTACTGACACACAAAACTTCCAGAGTCACAATCCCACCCACACAAAGAAGGTTTATAATGGCTTTAAAATCCTACAATCCCACAATACATGCTCTACTAGCTTTAACTTGGGGAAATGTATTCTTGTTCTTAACATCATTCAAGAGATATTGAATTAAAAATACAACAAGTTAAGGAAATTCTCATGTGAATGGTGCAGTAATGTACAGTGGAGCATTGTGTTATTGAAATACTGAAAAACGAATGAGGGAATGAGACTTGAGCTCTGGAGGGCACTTATTCCTGCGAAAGCACCTCAAAAGTACATCTCTAATTATTCCGAATATTACTATTGCCAGATCTAATGACTGTGCTGAGATGTGTAGTACGCTGATATTTGTTACTCCGTGTTCAACAACCACAGGAAATTAAAATGCTTAGATGCTTTTAAGAACCTGTGTGACATAGATTTGGCTTGATTGAAATTAACAAGACATGTGCTTCACAGACTGTCTTTATATGGCTTCACTCATTAGCAAAACAAAAAACAGAAAAGAAAATCTTTACATGGCAGCAGTGCTATCATTTAATACCCTCAATTTCTATTTTTATTATTTTTTTTGTGGGAAAGCTCAAAAGAATGAAACAATCCAAAGTATTGCCCAAACACCAGTATGATGACAGCATCTGAAAGACACTGTCACATCCCCTTGATGATGCCAAACGTATCATCCAGGTCACTCCATCAGATACTGCAGCAATAGAGCTGTTAAAAAAATCTTGCTTTGAAACTCAGCTATTGAAGATTAAAAGTCCCCCCTTAAAACCATTTTCAATCCAGTTTCCATTCCCCCCCTTGGGTTATTTTTCCAGCTCTTCTGAAATTCCGTCATTTCTCTATAGTTAATTATAAAACAGGATTCTACCCCCTCCATAAAGAGTCTGACAAACTAAATAGAATATATCAAATATGTGAAATAATTTCAGGTACATCATTTTAACAGCTTTAGACGGTTACACACATAGGTACAAGTACATCTTTGCCTCTAAAATTTAAAGTTTATGCCTGATGCCTGTAGGCTGTGGCTGCTTATAAGCAAAATCGAATTCCTTGGTTGTGCACAAGATCATGGCCAATGAAGTGGATTCTGAATCTGAGAAAGTAGTGCCTCTGCTTTGGATGTTTGGATACCATTACCCCGGTGGCAAATGCATACAAATCTCATAGAGAGGATGTGAGAAAGTTCTGTTCGAAGCTGTTTTTGCAGCAGATCTTAAAGTTCCCAAACTGCTTACAGGATGCTGGCAGGAAGCAACACTTGTTTCTTTGCCGTTAATTGTTGAATATAGATTAGCTGTGATTGGCAACTGTGAAAAAAATGATTGCACAAGTTGGATCAGTCTCACGACTTAACGATTACCAGCTTGTCACTTTTGCAAGGTTACAAAAATGCAAAAACAAGGCAGGGCAATTATAGCTCAATAACCCAGCCTATTTTCATCATATAAATTATATATCTTATACAAGACAATGACCTATAATGAAGTTGATCAAATTACTTTAATTCAATTTATTTATATAGAGCCACAGCATTTGTCTTCTCAAATTTAGTTTGATCGACCCTAAGCAATGATAGGCAGGTCAAATGCTGAAATATTTGGTCCTGTCATCCATCAAATGCATTGAAACTTAGAACTCCCATCATATTTAGTGCATAAAGTTGTCAAATAAAACAAGACAAACAACATAGATGCAGAAATGGAAATATTTGACGTCCTTTATTTTCATAAAAAATCTAACTTTTACCTCTAATGAGAATCCTCCAACAATTATTTTTTTGTTTGTTTTACAGTATGGGTGGTAATTTTTAACTGTCAGCTCAGACAAAATAAAAACCCAGAAAGTTTGTGCTGAATGGCAAGAAAATATCTTATCTGTGTAACTTACCTACAGTATTCACAAAAAAAATGTACAATGCACCATCATGTGGGTTTTAAAAAGGTGTTTGAAAGCACTGTGATATCACTGCATATGTGACTTCTGATTTCAATAAATTAAAACAATTACCTTCAGAAACTGAGAAAAAAGAATTTCTGTTTATATAATATATGTAAATATCCTGCTTGATTTGTCAACACTGAGTAATGTTTAAGTAAGGACTACGGTTAGCCTCGGTGCTAAAATTATGTTTGCTCTGTGTGACTGCCATACGGGCAAGTTGCTATCTTGCTCCTTCTCTAATCATATTAATTGTAGACAACATGTGCTGGGATGAATGAGAGGTGTAGTGATATAGAAACACAAACATGAGGAAAAAAAGGAAGAGTAATTAAAAGATACAAACCTGTTCAGAAAGTCTGGTTTCATATCCAGACTATAAATAATGAAGTCTCGGAGGATGTGCGAATTTAACTCAACATCACCAAGAAGACCTGAAAACATGAGTCAATGCCATTTACAGTTTCTTTTAAAGTTCTAACGTGCAGTTAATCAGCGTCAACATTTTCTGGTAAAAAAAATAAAAAATAATAATATATATATATATATTAAAGAAGAAACCTTTGATTATTGGACTTTTTGTACCTTTGCGCTGCTCATCCAAAGTTGTCCCATAATTCACTCTTCCACAGTTCTCCACCAGCAAACTCAGAGTTCTGCTTCCCTTTAGCATAAACATACATAAAACATGAGCTGCATTCAAGGAAACTGCATTAGTTTATAAGAAATAAACGAAAAAACACACAGAGAACCATAAAGAAAATAGGGGAAGCTCTCATGAAAATTTTAATAAGCTTTCTAAGAAAGCTTGCAGATTTTGGCCTAATTTTTTCCCCTCAAAATAAACAGAAGATTTGTGGTGTGATTCACATTTGCTGCCAGGAAATATTTCTGAGCATCCCCTGTAGCCTTCACATGCTGCAGGTCATTAAATATTAAACACTTTATCGCTTTGAAACAGCACACTGGGTCTGAAATATACACAGAAGGATAAAAAAGCTCAGTACCTTCCCATCGGGTAGTACGAGTTCCTGCACCTTATCGTCCAACACACCAACAAAATGTTTGTCCACAAAAACCTGAAAAAAAAGGGATGAAAAAAAAAAAATCACATTTTAAAAGACAAAAAGAGCAAATAAAAAAAAAAAAAAACATTCAGCCGTTTATGTTAAAAACTTTTAAAAAGTATGCAAATAGAAATTGTCAGGCGGAGCGACTGCAAAACAAAACCATTGCCATTGGGATTAAATTTACTGTTATGCTAATGAGAAATGAATAGCACCCAGTACCATTCTTCTAATTAAGTACAAATGTGAGACCATGAATCTATGGGAATGATTGTTCTCACCAGCGCTCTGTCTCTGATGTTGTTCTTTGAGTTGAGAGTTCCTCCGCTGGCTATGGTCGTCTCATACAGCGTATAGCCATACGACTGACCGTTATTGTTGTTGACAGGGAGGTTCTCCATGTTTACTGGCCTCTCAGATTTGAAAGGCTGCAGAGGATGCAAAAACAGAACATTACAGTCAAACAAAAGAAGGACAAACCTCATCTCATTATCAGCAGAAATGATCAGCAGAAACACATTTTAGTGATTAATACATTTTTTTTATTCCCACTATTAAATAAAGAGAGGAATCCCACTCCATGTGCTATCCACCTGTTTGTAACATTTCTAGTTCTGCAGCAAATGAAAATGATTAATTGATTCAGAGGGCTCATTATTGCAATAAGATGAAAAATAATTAGGAGTATAATACTTGCAGAGGTTGATAGTAGCTAGTCTCTTCACTCAATTAGATTATACTTGAGTAAATTCTTGACAAAAATAAAATTTCAGGAGTAGGTTTACTACATCATATCTTTCACTTGAGAAATTTCTTAAAAAGATATGACTTATTATCTTACTCATATAAGTAATTAATAAGTAAGTAAGAAGATTAATAGGTAAAATATAAATACAAGTTATATAAATCTATGTAAAATAGTTAGTTAGCTACTTGATCCATCGTGAATTACTAAATAACGAACAGGATGTTTTTTTGTTTTTTTTTTTGTTTTTTTTAAGTTCTCCAGACAATGTTTATAGTCCAAAACACTAATGATTAATGTTTATGTCAAAAATGAAAATTCTATCTCGTATAAATGCACTTGAACCTACCCTGGTTTTTGGAGGTTAAACCATTAAATAGTACATATCGTCACTGGAGGTAGTGGTTTCCTATGTTTTATGTTAAAAATATATTGGTTTGAAAAGTATTTGGTTGCCTTGAACTTTTCAACCTTTTTCCACATTTCAGGCTTCAAACATAAAGATATAAAATTGAATTTCTTTGTGAAGAATCAACAATATGTGGGACACAATCATGAAGAGCATTTATTGGATATTTTAAACTTTTTTATCAAATAAAAAACTGAAGAATGGGACATGCAAAATTTACTGGCAGCAAACTATCTACAGAAGTTCAATGAGGATCTCTGAATAATCTAATATTGACCTAAATGACTGATGATGATAAATAATGTAGAATCCAGCTGTGTGTAATCAAGTCTCCATATAAATGCCTCTGCTCTGTGATAGGGCTGTATTTAAAGTTCAGAGAGCATCAAGAAGAACAAGGAACACACCAGGAATGTCTGGGATTCTGTTGCAAAAATGTATACATTTGCTGCATAAATCTGGCTTTTATGGAAGAAAGCCATTTCTTAGATATCCATAAAATGTCTTGTTAAAATTTTGCCACAAGCCACCTGGGAGATACAGTGAACAGGTGGGGGAAGGTGCTCTGGTCCGGTGAACAGAATATCGAAATGTTTTGGCAAGAATGCAAAACGTTATTTTTGGCATAAAAGCTGCACAGATCATTACACTAAACAAACCATCCCCACTGTCAAGCATGGAGGTGGCAGCTTCATGGTTTTGGCCTATGTTTTTTCTGCAGGGACAGAGAAGATGTTTAAAATTGATGTGAAGATGGATGGAGCCAAATACAGCACCAGTCTGGAAGAAAAGCTATTGGGGTATGCAAAAAACCTGAGACTGACAGGGAGATTTATCGTCCAACGAAACAATGATCCAAAACATAAAGCAAAATCTACAATGAATATATAAACATATCCAGGTGTTAGAATGGCCAAGTCAAAGTCTGGACCTGAATTGGAACTGGAACTGTTTTCCAAGGAATAATGGCCAAAAATTTTTGTCACCCAAGCGACTTTTAGCTGTAATTGCAGCAAAAAGTGGCACTAGTGTAGTTCCAATCGTCTTGGAATCCATACCTGTTTTGTTTTGGATTTGAAAATAAGGGAAACTTGACGACATCCACTGCGAGCCGTCTGATTACCTTAGCCAAGCTCCACTATCCAATATATTTTAAGACATGCTCAAGAAATCTAAAATAAACACTTGTCACCAAATTGCAACCTACAATAAGGTGATCGGATTTTGATTTGCAATGCCTGTGACTGTTCCGTTTGGAGACCCAGGTCAATTATTTATCTTATTGATAATTATATCAATCGTGCTCCGACGCAGCATGAAGCAGCACGCTGCCTACAGATAGCTACCAAGCACACTGAGGTTTCTAAAACCGGAGAGTCATCCTGGGAATGTGCCAGTCGACCCTGAGCCAAGCCATGCCACCTGAGTTGTATGGAATTACCCATGTGAGCCAGTTTTTTTTTTATTTCCACACAATGGGGTTAAGGCTGATATAAAAGAGCCACGTGCAGCAAACAAACTGTTTCAATAATGCAATTAGTGCTTTGGATGGCAAACAGATTATTTAAAGCACCAAAATGCAATGCATTTGTTTTCATTAACAGGAAGCATTTTCATTTAATAGAGGGAAAAATTTAACATGATGCACAAATGTAAATAAGACAATTTGAATCAAGGGGGTCTGGTCCAAAACAGATTTGTTCTAACAAAAAGCAGAAAAGATTACATGCTGGCATGGTGTGGGATTGGTGTCTTCCTGTGGAGTATAGTCAATTATTCCAATATTAATCCTCCCTAATGCCCCCTTAGGCTCAGTGCACCAGGGGATGCTGTTAGGATAATTATGGTAGTTATGTCCTATGGGCATCATGACCTGTCAGAGGTTCAAATCACGCCTTAACCTAAGCTTTTCCCCAATCCATTTCCTTTACAATCCCGTTGCGTGTAATCCATTTTAAGTGATGTAGAAAATATCTTTTCAGGCTATTTTATGTGCCTCTGACCCATTTTAAAGCATCTCATTCATTTCATTTCTGAAATGGTATGTATCAAAGGAGAAGTCTGCTCACATGCAAGCTCAATGGATTGCTACGTACAAAGGAAATGTAGATGGATTCATGGACAGCCATCGTTTCTTACAACCGTTTTATTGATTTCAGCACACTGTATCGTGTGGGAAATTAGTCTTACTGCATGAGTCTCAGGTCTTTTACCAAACAACCAAGTCTTTTACATCTTTGGCAGGTGCATTATGCACGTCCAACAAGCTAATATAATCAGAGCTTCCAAACACACACACAGATAAAATATTAGACCCGACAGTCTGCGCTGTACCTGAAGAGAACCCATTCTTTTTAAACAAGGGTTTATGGCTGGTAAGGGGCAAAGTAATTGGCATCTCAGAGGAAAGCAAATTATTGCGATGGGGACTGAATAATTAATAAGGCAAGAGTCAACAGACATGCCACACCTGGCTTGAATATAAATTCCTCTATGGAAACAGCAGAAATACTCTAACTAGTACAGTAAACATGGGAGGGACATGAAGAAAGGATTGGATTCAAAGTGAATATTGTGCCGATTATTGATTTTTTAATTCATTTCACTTTTCTTTTTCACTCCAAGGGGAGATTTAGAGATGCATCCGGCTCTTTAGCACTCCCCTGGAGCTTTTTCAAAAATTTATGAAAATAGAAAAATATGTTTTTTTTTTTTTTTTTTTTTTTTTTATGGTATTCAGGAGGTCAAACAAACATTCATTATGTTTTCAAATCCTGTAAAAATGTGTACGTTAAATACATTTAAACAATAAATGTAAACATTTCTGTCACTGAAGATTTGCATCATAGCCTGCAGCACATTTCAGCTGTGACATTTGCTCCAGGATAAACATTTAATCAAGAATGCTTATTATATATTTAAGCCTGTGTAGTCCTTCTGTATAGTGGGCTAATTCACTTAGAGCCTGAGTTGCCATACGAGGCTTATATAACCCTTTTACGTATCGTGGCTCCAGACAGATTTTTTTTTTTTTTTGGTCCAATATGGCTGTTTGAACAGTTTGGGTTGCCGACTCCTGACATCCTGGATCAATAAAAATGTAGACAGACGTTTTGTTATGTTACTGAATCCCTGTTATGTCTCACAAGGGTCGGAGACAAGGATGTGCAGGGGGGCACGGTATGTGTTCACTTTTTTTCCCTGCCCCTGACCTTCAAAATGTTTGTGCACGCCACTGGTAAGAGATGTTAGTTTTTCAATGAATCAATGATCTATTAGTGTCCGGCACCAGGCTGCACGTGATAAAAATATGCCAATGAGCTGTATCAGTCAGGGTCGCTGCTACGAGCCACTTTTAGACACAACAGGTAAACCTGTGGCAAGCCGGGCGATGGGAAAGAAGGAGAAGATGATGAGAAAAAGAGAGCAGAGAAAGTGTGGACTGCTGGAAAAGTGCTGTGAACTGATGACAGAAAATTGAAAAGGTGTGCTCAAAGATGACCCTTCACATTTTAAGTATGTTTGGCTCAACCTGCTGCTGTGAAGCAGGATTCTCCACCATGAACATACGGTAATAAAAAATAAATATAAATCCAGGCTCAAAATGAGCACCTTGATATGCGCTTAGGAATGGCTTTGTCACCATTCAAACCCAGGTTTAAAGCCTTGCAGGGCAGCAAAAAGCCCACTGCTATCATTAAGCCAGAAAAAAGAAAAAAATAACAAACGATCAGTTCAGGTGATTGCTGTTCTCTACTTAAAAAAACACTTAGATTTTAAAATGGAAAAAATTTATTTTTTTTCTTTTCCCTTTTTTTTTTATATATATATTTTTTTTTATTTAAAAAAGTCAATGTATAACTATGTGCATAAACACATTATTTTATTTCAGTGTTAAATTCTGTTTAAAGAAACAGATTATAAATAAAAATGTCTCCGGACTTTTACTGGTTGATGATTTTTATTAGGAACCCGCTTATTTTTAATTGGTTACACCTGATCTAAATGGTCCAATATCAGCACCGATTTCATGTTTGTAATCAGTCAGTAAAGAGAAATGAACAGCGCAATACAAGGTCACACATATATAACATCCTACACATTTATTGGCCTCACTGGTAATTATGTGCAAGTCATTATGAAATAAAATCATGTTCTATTACAGTAACTATAAAATTACTGTACGAATAGCAGGGCATATCCAAGCATTAGTGACAATGAAGCCTGTCTGTGTTTGCTTCTTGCTACAGGCTTATCTAATTCCCCAAACTGTGTGAAAATGCTTTGGTGGATTGCGTTTGAAGTGAACTGTGCTGAACATTTTTTTCGTGACAGAAAGAAGGGCCGGATAATATACAGTTTCCCCACTGGGCTGCGAAACTCAATTAAAATTACGTCTAACTTAAAAAGGAGTTTTTTAATGATTCAAACAATTTTAATGATTAAAGCCTGCAGGTTTTGTTTATGAGGACATCAACTACACAGACATCTGCTCTATTCCAAAATGAAACCTGTATGATCTGCAATCCTGGACAGATGACTCATTTATTTCATATCTCAGAACCCTAATGCTTAAAAATAATATTCAAACATTATCGGTTAATAAACTCCGGTCCTCTTTTAGGTTTGTGTCTGCTTCAATACAAAAACATACTAAAAAATAATAACAATAATAATAGAAGATAACTGGATTCAGGTGAGTTGGACCAGATGATCATCATAAAGATACACGGTGCCTTGCTTTGAGTACTGAAGGGTAAAGACTGCCTTTTTCTTTATTTACACAGTTCCATTAAGGTTCACATATATGATCAATGAAAAATGCGGGATTTGGCACAATGTGTTTAAAAAACACAAATATCCAAGTCCTGATTGGATTTAAAGTTAATACAAAATACAACCCATAGAGGAGGAAAAAATGAACGATATCTGAAATATAAGGGTGGTGAAAGCTAAACAGTGAGAGCCATTTAGCCTAATTCCACCCCAAGGCTTTATCTTTAGCTCAGAGTATATCTAAAAGTCCTATTATGTAGAGCATGTTGAAAAATTTATGCTATTCAAAAAAAGTTGCCTTTATTACAAGCAGGGCTGTTTTACCAGCTTTTTTTTTTCTGATTCAGGTCTGGGTCCTACAGTGGGAGCACAGAAGGGAGAAAAATAATCCCAGAAAAGTATCCTGCTCCGTGTGGGCCAAAACAACATACCCTTAGGTAGAAAGCATCATGAACTATTTAAAATACCAGAACACCTCAAAGAAATTACCAACTGGAGTGATTCCAAACTGAAGAATCGGTTTTTAATTGATGATTTTGTGGTGTAATGATGCAAAACAATAGAAATGATCCAGCATAGAATTAACCTTCCGGCACCATTTCTGATTATTTATTATTATCTTTTGGTAGTTGTGTCCCTTACCCCTTCTGTCGCATGGAGACTATCCCAAAGAGATAGATGCTGCTGGATGACAACAGGCTGATAACCTCTCCTTGCATGAGGAGAGGGTGGATTAGGAAGAGGTTCATCTGAAAAAAAAAAAAGAGGGGGGTAAGTGCATCCTTGGTGGTTAAAATCATGTAAGTAAATGCTTTAAAAAAACCTGTAAAGTAAACTTTATTCATTCAATTAAAGCAACCCAGACTTATCTGTTATTTATTCCTACAGAGAGCAGTCAATGCTTTCCATCACATGCATGACTCTGTACCAACCATAGAAAATAACCTCAGAAAACTTCTGCAAGTCACTGTGTGTGAGCTTCCAGTTAGTCTTCCAGTTTCCCAAACAGCCTCTAAACAACCGTTAAAAGAGCTTGTCCAGGACCATCAACTGCTTTTAAAGGTGTTAAATCTCACAGGCACACTGACACTCCTTCTAGAAACAGCCTGACAGTATTTCCCTTTCATCGAGTGCTAAAAACCAGCTCGCCTGTGGGAAACTTTGAGGATAATGGTCAACACTTCCTTTAAACAACTCTTACTGGGTTTAACACTCATAAATCAGAACATTCTATTGCATTTAACGGTCTTACATTCTGTCAAATTTACCAAAGCAAGAATGAAAACATAGCTTCATGAAACTATCAACCATCCAAAGAATTTCACTTTATGAAAAAAAGATGTAATCATACAAAATTGTCACTGCCGGTTTGCAGGAGTTTTTTTAAACTAGTGCTTTACATAAATATCTTAGCATTTTTCTTTGTTTACATTAAATCCTATTACTCAACAGTTCTATTAAAATGGTCCCTGTTTATTAGGTACAGAACATCTGAAAGCAATCGCTTGGAGTGAGTTTTATTAAGGGGCATCATCGTAATAGGGGCTGAATACCAATCCACACTCTTCAGATTTCTATTGGTAACAAAACATTTAACCAAAACGTTTCTTATCCTTTGATATTAATCTTTTACATATTGGTAAACCTTAGGCTCTGTGCCTAAACTGTTTGATAGAGGATTTTTTTTAAACCAAAAAAGTAATTTCTTAGCATAAAGTAGTTGCATATGTTCTTTTCAAGTCTACAAGATGGCTAAAAATGCAAACTAAATGGAAATACATTTAATACACCACAACATAGTGCTCTTGGTAAAAGAAATCATTAAAACAAAAGTTTAATTTACAAAAATCCATCTGGCTATTTTAAAGACTTGATGCTGCCAGTGTGTCATAAGAATGACATAAGAATGAGTTTCACATCCCTATCCAACAGGAAAGACAGTTCTGCAGGAAACTGCACTTCCTGCAGAAGCAAAAAACGGTGTGACATATATATTCAGTTCCTACTATAAAGAGTTCTCAATGAATAATATCAGGCTAAATGCAAAATCCCTGTTGAAACTTAAGCCAACCAGCCTGATTGGATAACACAAAAAAATCCATCACTTCCAGTGAGGCTAGTCTCATGGTGGTGAGATATCTGCCCAATGCTGATTGGCAGAACACGCTAAAATATTCAACAGACAATGGCCTGACAGAGAGGAAGTCTCCCTTAATGAGACTCAGATAAGAAAGGAAAGAGGTGTTTTCTGGAGTTTATCATTTCAGAGTTCTTCACAACAGCTATTATAACACCTTCAAGTAATGTTTTTTTTTTTTTTTCAATATTCAGTATGTTATGTTTTGGTTTCATTTACACTATGGAGTCTCCCCTGTTTCAGAGGGCAGCAGCCGCCACTGATTCCCAAAGAAGGGACAGGTGTGACATCATAAACATTTAGTTCCTAAAGGAGGAAGTGATAAAGCATCATAGATGTTTTGGTCTCTATTGTACTGGTAATTAATCAATTCAGGTCAGGTAAGTTTAATTCAAATTCATTTATCTTCCATTATAATGAAGTAGTATCTCAGTGGGGGCGGTATTTAAAATCCCAGAAGTCCAACATATTATTGTTCGCAGTTACGTAAAAAAAAAACAAAAAAAAACAGCCTGCTCTGTTTATGGCTGTTGTCAGAGAGAGAAAGAAAGCAATGGGCCCATAATGCTTTGTGAGGAGAGCATTCCAGAATATATATCTGCCTCTTCTAAGGTCTTTATTTTCTTCTCATACGCTTCATAGACACTTTTTCTCTTACGACCCTGGGCCATTTTCATAGAACTGCCATGAAAAAGGTGAGCTTCAGTGACTGCCTGAAACCGCAGCTCATCACATATATACGCCTGAAAGTGTGCATGTGCAGAAACAGATAGCTAATGGGACGAGCACGTAGAAGGGCCTTAGGTAAACATATCACCAGAATGATTGACAATTTGGAGGACCACTTATTTAGATGATTCTCCTGGAAATAAAAGATCGTCCTCTATACCTTTAACCGTTGGAGATATTAGTTAATTTAAGAAGCTGCAAATGGTGGCACTGTCCCCTAACAGTGAAAGACATTCCTCTGCTGTTGTGTTTCCAGTGCAACGTTTGGAAGCAAACAGGCACTAAGAATATTATAGTATTTTTTATTTTTTTTTGACTGGTGAGACTGGTGGTGGTTACATCATAGATATCAATTTTGTTGAAGCAGCTAGTGTGAACATATAGATATTTAGTTCCTACAGGAGGTATTTGTGTGACCAACACATTCACATTTCCAACTTGTCTAAGATTGATATTTTTTTCCAAGATGCGCCTCTGCATGACAGGTTGTAGAAATTGTTTCACGTGACACGCACGGGGCCTGCAATGAAAATTTTAGCCTATAAAGGTATTGTTGGTACCTTTTGGATTGTATGTTAACTAAATACAAGTATTTGGTTAGGTTAGGGGTTACAGTTAGGGTAAGAGATGGATTAGTGGTAGCTTTATCAATTTCATGTTAAATTTAATGTTTTGTGAGTTTCTGCGACAATGCTTCAATAAATGACGAGAGAAGTATCTCCATCGTCTCAATGTTTTTATGCACAGTAGGCTTATCAAGAGTTTGACTGCCTTAGGGTGACTTTCAGTTCCTGCAGAAGGAACTGGTGTCACATAACAGATACATAGTTTCTACAGCACACAGGTCGAATTTAATGCCCACGGGTTAAATACGGCGTGTCGAGTCAATTTATCCAGCCTTCAGGGGTGAAAATAATCTTGTCATATAAAGAAGAGGTATACAGTCTCTTTAAAGTATATAAAGTGGCAAAAATGCATAATAATTTGAATGGAAACAAAAGTCTTATTTATAGAGCTGCAAGTTGCCCTTTTGGAGACCTGAAGATGGTGAAGTGCTCAGATATAAAAATGTGTTTGACAATAACAAATAAATCTAACAAAATGCTTATAAAACATGTAACTTTATGGTTTTTACATGAAAAGATGAAGAAATTAAAGGTTTAGCTAACTGGCAGCATTGAGAAAGAACAAGCTTCTTGCAACTGTGTCTCATGGATCAAGTGCTTGCAGAATTAAGCAGATTTTTTGCCAGGGTTATTGATCTCCATCCATCCTTCAATTAGATATTACCACCTTACCTGTCCTGCAAAAAAACAAAAGAGTCGCCCCTAGCTTTTTGCCGCTGCAAATACATTTTACATGGTGCCTTCAGGATGATGTGTTGTACCAGTTTTCTGTCAAACACAAGATTTTGGATTGAGTCCAAATTTCTTGTTTAGACTAGATTGGCATAACGACTAAAATTTGTCCTGGAAAACAACATTCCCTACATGACTGCTGGATCTTTGCAGCTCCTTCAGAGTCACATTTATATCAGTGTCTTGCAGTTTGTACTTTGCTTTTTTAAGGGCTTATCATGTATTGATATGCAATTAATATGCAATATGTTAAAAGCTTGGAATATTGTTTATCAACTAACTCTGTTTTAAATTTCTCCATAACACCATACCAGACCTGTCCATTTCATCAAGACAATTGACATACAGTATGCTTTTATTCAGGGGTAACCTAGTATAGCTTGTCTCAGATAAATCTGTTTGCTGTGAGTACTTTGTTTCCCCAGTGTGATGGCAGTGAAATGACAAGACTATATTTCTACCTCTATATTGAATAAGTATACAGTAACTGACATAATGTTGAACAGCTGACGGCCAAACAGTGATAAAACATGAAAATGATTTAATTAAAAAAATTGGGTCAGGTCTTTGTGGTTGTAGAGCAGAACAAAAAGGATTCTCAGACTCATCATATTCAGGCCACTGCCTATTATTCAACAGACTACAAAACATAAGGATGCATCACCCTCAGGCAGCCATTCAACTGTCTCCAATCACCACAGCGGCAGGCAAATTATAACTTTGTTATGCTGGATTCATTCTCGCGCTGCCAAAAGCGAGTCCTGGCCACAAAACACTTGAGACTTCTGCCCCCGAACATAGAGGACTTGTTTCACAAACGGGGGAAAACTGCGCAAGCAGTGAGCAGAATCCAAGACATGTATGTTATTTTCATAATTGGCAGTCCCTCTGAGGGTCTCTGATTGAGGCAGAGAGCTCACACATAAGAGCAAAGAGACACAAACCCTTAAATTTAATCCCGGCTTGTAATGACATGCAAACCTATCCTGTTTGAGCCAAGAGAGAACAGGTTCTACAAGGAGAATTAACTTAAGTGGGGAGATGAAAGCGAAGGAGGAGACGGAAGAGACAGGAGATGCAAGGCCTGTCTCAGCAACAGCATGCAGTACTCACCGTGGTAGCTGCTGAATAAATTCCTCAGAAGATGATACTTGGTGGTGTAATCCCCAGCCTCGGATAATGGAGCATCGTAATCTGAAAGATAATGCGCTATCAGAACAGCAGGTTTGGGAGCAAGAGAGAGGCACGGACGCCTTTTAGCGTGGCGGATTCTTTCTCTGCTCTCCCCTATAAAACATCTTAAGGCAGTAGCAGTAGCCTGAAACACATTCTGGGTTTATCTTGACAGAAAATAGAGCCTTTTGGAGGCTAAAAGGTAAAAGACACTCAGGGAGCAGTGGCACAAGCGGAAAGACTACTGAAGGTCAGGGGTAACAGTGTCTACTATTCTGAATAAGAAAAGAAGACAAGAGGACATTTGACCTGCTGTTCTGTCTTAATATTCTAGTAATAGACTCAGACAAACTTTGTCATTTTGTATACACAGCGTATACAAAACGAAATCTCATTTTGAACAGCTTTCAGACAGTAAATGAGCAGCAGCTAGGCAGGGAAATGTGTGCATTAGGTCAAAATATATAGCTCTAATGGAAAAAGGCTTCTGACAGTGTTCGAGAAACTCAATCAATTAAAGTTTAAGGTACCAAGGAGAGAATTCCAGCTAAAATTAAATAGAAATTAAACAGATTAAAAATTTCAAGTGTTGTTCAGTGAAGTAGTTATCAGTAATCAGTACCTTGACTGTATCCTCTATGGTGGAGGTCTTCAACAAGGGGTTTGCGACCCTTAGGGGGTCTATGGGGGTACTGCATGGGGGTTGCAAAAGTCTTGGTTGGTTAGACTTTTTTTTATATTCCCCCCTGAAATTTTTTCCACTACTTTAAATGTATTTAAATACACATTAACATGAATTCAACACACTGTAGTAAACAGATAAATGGAGGCGGAAGATGTCTTTCAGTCATCAATGCACACATTCAGCGACACACAGGAGCTCTTTCAAGCCGGGCACCGTTTCATTCGCAACACCTGTTCCATCAACCAGGAATCAGAATCAGAAATACATTAATATTCCCAGGGCCAAATTACTTTTGTTACATGACCCCATCTGTAATAGAGTGACTATAGGACCAGTTTGATATAACGCAATTTCATACAATATATATAATTAGGGGTCCCTGCTCTATCTTGCTATCAGTTTGGGGGTCCTTGTCCTGGAAAACATTGAAGACCCCTGATCTATGGGTTTACTGTAGCTGTGACTTCTGTAGTTGAATTCTACTGAGACAGCCTAGTGGTAGCAAGCTAACCAATATAACCACCAGCTTCTCTCTTCTCACTCTCTTTACTTTAATATGTGAAATTAAGCTAATTGCTACTTTCCCCCCATCCTGATCACACCCCCCTCTGTTCATACACATACTCGACCATGCCCCTCAGTGTCGCTTGGCACTGCCAACTTGTGTGGCTGTTTTAATACATCTCTTGGGGCAGAGTTATGCTTTTCCCTCTGGTTTAGTTACATGCTAAGCTCAGTTTTTATTAAATTGCCTTCTCTATTTTTGTGCACCCATAAGCTTACCGCCTGATTTGGGTATCACAGTATAAATAACGGTAACTTTTTTAAATGATTTAACATTTTTGATTGGGTTTATACAAGTAATCAAATATCTGAATAATTTTAAACTAACAGATACTTGAAATAAACTATTATTTATGAAACGCTCATTCTATTTTTTAGAATTTTTTATCCCTGTGAACACAATATTGTGTGATATCATCATGTCTCATGAGCTACTTTATTAATCTGAATTTTGTTTAGAGAATCAACTTGTGACTCTGGCCATTCATTATGAAACATATGTTGAAAATACACTTGAATACTTTTCAGACATTTTAAGAATATTACCTCTAGTAACACATATCACATATCCATGTAGGAGCTTAAAGCACCCTGTGTGCCTTTGAGATGAGAGCCTGGGTAGGATGTTAAGTTCAGAGAGAGTTTATCAAAGCAAAAGCACCTTTTGTCAAGAATGTTATATTTTTATTTCTTTAAATAAAAACTATTCAGGTTTGTTAAAATCACAACATTATCCAGAACAACTGTGACCAAATCTTTTAAACAGGGCGTAACCGCAGCATGTTCTGAGTAGCTGTAAACTCAGGCCATCTGGCAGACAGCATGAAAGAGGCGCAGCCCCACAAAGCTAATTTTTTACTTGAAACTAACTTCCAGGAAAGGTTATTGCTTAGAATTCCAGAGAGTGCAGTAACAGAAAACTAAAACTGCGTAGAATCTGAACAAATCACGTACCGTAGCTTGTCACCATGGGTTTAGGTGCTGGTATCCCAACAGCCAACGCACCATTCATGAAGCCAAAATTGGTCCCTCCATGAAACATATACAGGTTGATGGACATGTCAAGCTTCAGAATTTCTGTGACTACTGGGATCATGTCTGTCAGGAAGACAAAGAAACCAGGAAAAACATTTAAAACTGCATTCATGCAAAAATGCTGAAATACACACTGCAAAAATATATCAAAACCGAGCAAAAATATCTTAAATAAGTGTATTTACCCTTAATTTGAGCAGGTAAATAAGATCATCATGCAACAGACTGAGTATTTTTGTCCTTAAAATATGATAGTTTAATATGCAAATGAAATAAGGTGATGTTTTTTCTTTCACATTTTAAAAATAAATCATATTATTCCATTAGCTTACATACCTGCACAAATTTACAAAAAATGTACTTATTTCTAAAAAGAAATTGTATTTGCTTATATTTCAGTTTTTGCAGTTTTATCTTTAACAGCACCTGGTTTATATTCCGACTGGTCCAGTTTCACCGAAACATATCCATGCATTCTGTTACAGGTAAACGAAACTAATGAAGAGGAAGGGTTCATTTAAGCTGACACCATTACTTAAAGTATTCAAGAGAGAAGAACACAATTGGGCAATTAAGAGTTCAAATGGGACTTCAGAGGACAATCTGGACCATGTTTAATGATTTGAATCAAGAGTCATGGTCTTGGTGAATATCAATAGTTCAGGTCCCTCTGGCGGCTCCAGCTGCAGGATGTATAGCAGTCTGCAAAGCAGTGAACTATCAAGGATATGAATCCCCTCTGAATGTCATGCTATATATTTTTTTCTTGCTTTTCATTGCTGACACTTTCTGAAGGGCGAGGCTCTTTTTTCTGCTCTTTCCTGCTATTAATGCAAGGAAACAAGACAGAAAGCCCAAAGATTATTGGATATTTGAATCTGAATGGCTGCTGGCAATGACCGAAATATAAAACACACAAAATACAGTCTGGCTATATATACAGACAGGTTTATTTGGTGGAAGATTTTGTTTCTATTTATGTGCAGGTGAATTTAGTGAGTTCCTATCCATTCATTCGTTCATTCAAAATTGATGCTTTAATCTTCACCAAGGTGTTCAAAGATGAATATATATATAAAATAAATTTCCAAGACAGACTGTTAGCTTAAAATCTATAAGTATACATTATAGAAATGCTTAAGCAACATTTTTCCTACCAGTGATTTTACAACTGTAACAAGACTTTTGTTTATTGACCTGTCAAAATTCCTTTTGCTACAGCAATGCAAAACTGAACATATGTAAATGCGGTGATACATCTTGCAAATTACTTCCCTCCAGCACATCAATACAGAAAGAAAATTAATTGCACAATTCTACCAAAGACAGTATCTTCACAAAAATTTGTGTTTCCTAATTGGTTAAATTACTAAGTTCATATTGTGTATTTTTGGTCATACTAATCAGTGAATTTGCTTTACACTGCAGAACCTAGTTTCACTCACAACACATTCGTACACCAGTAGAATCTACAAATAACCAACTAATTTGAAATAAATTTTTAGCAATATCCCGAACCGGAGGGATACATCGATTCACAAGATAGAATCAAGATAGATAGAAGCAAAAGAGCTTGATGCTAATTATAAAAATAGGAATAAAGTTTGATCCTTATTTCTAGTTTAGAATATATACAAGTTCCAATGAGTCCTAAAACAAACAAAACAGATTCTGAAACCAAAAATGAACAATAAATTGCCCAATAAAAATAGTCTGACTTAGAGATTAATCATAAGACAAAAAAGTGAGGTTTCATTAGAGTATCAAAAATATGTTATGAACATAAAAGTTTAAACATTTTAAAATGAATAAAATGAGACATAATAATGTGCATCAGCAGAATCAGGAGATAGTTGTTTCTGCTAAAAATAACCTATACACAAAATCCCACAATCCTGACCTAGATTTTTTCACCTGCATAAATCCAAACCCTTTAAATGAAAGCAAACTTGCATGGTGCTCATTTTCTGCAGAGAATAATGTAGCAGAGAGAGGTGTGAGTTTCAGATAGCATACATAAGGTGGATGAGTGGATTCTTCATCATTAATCATTGACTAACATCGGTTATAGATACTAACAGCAGATCAATTCTTCGCTGACTGCCCTAAAAAAAAAAAAATCTATCCTTCCCCCCGCCCATCCCCACCCCCATTTTTTTAATAGTATTTGCCAGCTTGAATGCTATTTTTCTGCTTACAATCTGATGTCAGAAAACACAGCAAGAAGGCCATCAAAAAGCTTTAATGCAGCAGTCTTACACAGATGTGTGTTATCTCCAGGTAATTTGAGTCTTACGTTTATCTCGGGAGAAATCAGATTAGTAATCCACATCTTTCTGTAACCTGAGGCATAACTATTACATGACTGATGTTTATTTTACTTTTCAAAAGAAGAACAACAGGAAATCCTGTTATTTATGTAAGGCAGATGGGTGTTGTTTTAAGAAATATGAAACAGCTAGAAGATAATATCTACATGCATAAACTTTCCCATATCAGCAGTGGAAACAATAATAAGGCTGACAAAAGTTTATTTTGCCAGCATTCACAGGTAGGATGGTTAGGGAGATAAATCATTCTCTTATGTTATACAAATGCTTCATTATTTTCATTGTAAGTTTTACATTTTTAAGGCATTTTAAACATTGTTAAAAGCATTTTTTCGATTAATATTCGGATATGCAAAGGTTTCTCAAGAACTATTTTTTAAAATATAACACTAGGTTAAACTAAAACTTTACACTTGACCATTTCTAGATAAGAGCATACTGACAGACGAAAAGGATTTTTTTTTATCTTAAATGCAAAATGATTATATAATTTCTTATAATCTTGGTATAATTAGTGCCCTAAGTGGGTCACTCTGTCAGCTCAAGGCCTCTTTTAGAGTCTCCATACTCCAATTAACAATGAATCAATTACTAAATTTGTTGATGATTACTTCAATAATTGATTAATCATGATTAATGTAATTAATAATTTCAGCTGTAATATATATACTGTAATACATTACATTTAGCTCTAATCCATAGATAAAAAGATAGATAGACAGACAGACAGACAGACAGACAGACAGACAGACAGACATAGATATAGGACATCATCCATTTAATAACTTCTACTAGCTTTAACTTCTTGCCTTGAAGTCTTAAAACATTGCTTTGATATTGGATGTGATGTATTCAATAAAATGCACAATTACCTCTCAAAATAAAAAAACATTCTATATAAATCTATATAGTAACATTTAACTCTGTTCATTTATATAGAAATCAATCTATGGCAAAGACCATGTCATTTTAAACAAAGAGGCTTTTTTTTTCATCTTCCACACATTGTGGACTAAACATATATTTACCTAAAAGTCACAGAACCTGTCTGCTTCCTGATTAATAAAAGTGCTGGATATTTCCTAGCTGTTTACATGCGGCATCTTTATACTAATATAGAACAGATACATGTGGAACTTTCAGGCATCTTCTGGAAATTGACTACAAAGACCAACAAGATTTATCAGCATCTTTACTTCATTTTGTGGTATTTTGGCTGATTTATTTTCACTTTTCTGTGATGTCACAATACATTTGCACTGTTGCCTCAAAAATCCATGTCATATCTCTCTGGGCTTCCACGTTTTTTAAGGGATAATTATGTTAGTGTATGTCAGCTTATTAATCTAAAGAACGATTATTCTGGCATTTACCAACAAAACATTTTGATCATCCTCTAACAGATATTTAAAAGTTTACTCTGATTTAATGCGTTTAGGAAATATTTTAAAGTAACTGTAGCAAATAGAAAATAGGTAACAGTGGATCCCACATCAATTTTCCTTATGGAAGAATTTCAGGGTCTGCATATTACTGATTTTTTTTTTTTTCCCAATCCATTTCTAGGTGCACAGATTATTTTATTCACTTTGAAAAGGATTCTCTAAAGTCTCTCTTTCTCCTGAGGCACAGAGCCTCTATCTTAACCTAAAAACTGTCTCTTTTAACTGCACTTTTTGCACCAGCATGGAGCACAAAGAAAACTGTCTTGCCCTGTCTCAAATTAGCTGAATCTATCGACCCTCAGTACTGAGAGGAACAGCTTCACTCTTAACAAAGAATCCATCTCCAGAAAGCCTGCCTCGCTCTCTGGTGAATACCTCTTTTAGCAGCTCTGAGAGTCACGTATCACGTGTTAATTATTTCAGTGGGGATAAAATAAGGCTTACCCTCAGCAGTGAACACATGATGAAGCCCACCCCAGAGATCGAACCAGCCAGACCAGTACTCCATAACCATCTTAGGTTTCTGAGGCTAGAGAAAACAAAATGGATTAGAGCTTAAAAAAAAGAAAAGGTAAAGGTTTGTAAAGCAACATAGTGAGCAAAGCAACATGACCTTTTCCTTTCAGTGTAACAGTCTGTGCTGAAGGAACTGATGCAACCTTTAAGCAAATTGCCTTGATGTATTCATCCGTGTTTCCAAATTTTGTTTTGAATAAAGGCAACACCGGAAGAAATTATTTCTTAATTATGGAGATAAACCGTGGAATAAGTGACAATTTCTAAATATGTTATGTATGTAAAAAGACAACCAGCAATAACTGCAATACTGGCATCATTCAGACTGAAATAAAGGAAACAGTAACTTTCAATGGGATCCTCCGGGATCCAATTTAGGAATGACAATTAATTAAACCTGCTTAAAAAATACAGTTTGTGCCAAAATAACTTACTTGAATTTCATCCAGATACTTGATCTCATTTATGTCCAACTTTTGGAAGTTGATTGTTTCCAGTGCTTACAAGAAAAAACAAACAATAAGAAGAACTATTAGCAGGTCCATATGTTCTTTTTACTCTTCATATTAAAACAACACCAATTCAATTAAAAAACCTAGAAAAGTTTTATAGTTAAATGTCTACATTACTTTATTTATGTATATGAGGAGATATCTCTATAAAGAAACCAGGTTTATTTGTTCCAGATTCAGGGTTAATTTAAAGATTTATTTGGATTTTTGGGGAATTTAAGCTGGTCAGAGCTCATCTGGATGAATCTAAACTAAAAATTTTAATAAAACACAAAACTATAGACTACGAGACATTAAAAAACAATGTATTTGCATTAAAAAAGAAAATACAAGTTTCCATGTTTTCAAAACATTAGAATCCATCTTTATGTCAAAGCAAAAATCATTTAGATATTAAAACAAGACTTGTTACTAAGCAGCAGAAGGCAGGTATGTAGAGGGCTGGTTCTGGGTGTGTCTGTGGATGGTTGTGCAGTCATGAAAGAAACACATTTGATCTTCTCCTTTATGTGGAGAAGTTTGACTCTGTTAGTACCAGAGTTGGTTTTCTTAGGCAGCTTTAGTTGAACAGCCATTCATGTGTGTACATTTTTTTTCGAACATCAAACTTTTTTTAGGACGCTGTTTAAGTCAAATTAATAATAGCCACATTTATACACCTTTCAAAACCTAATGATTAAGAATACATCTTTATCCAATAAAACTGTTGAAACTAACACAAAACTAGAGACAGGACACCTGCTGTTCTGCATCACTGCTTTGATTCCCCATCAGGTCTTGCATAGGTTTTGCTGACAAGTATGCTGCTGTTAGTGTTTTTTTTTTCCTTTTTTATTTATTTATTAATAGAATTCAAACAGATGTTTTTTAACAAATTAAACACATTCATGCAGAATTCATAACCCATCCCTAAACATCTGGTTCTTTGCTCTCCCCAGCAAAAGTTCCTGTAATTTGCATTTGTTAGGTAGAGCAAGTTGGGATAATGAAAGCAAACTTTCTTCCATTTAATGTATTCCAAACATTGCCATTTTCAGGGGGGAAAAGAGAGACATTTAACAGAAAACGCTTCAGACAAACAATGCAGCAACTTGCTTCCACCTTAAGACTTTAATTCAGCTTTGAATAGATATAATGTAATAAACTGTAAATAATAAGATGGTGGGTTATTGGTTGATGACATCATTGTGTAGTTGAATGACCTTTAGAGCCAGTCACAGAATAAAGGTGTAATAAAAATATTGTTTTTGTGCATTAAACTTTTGATTCATCAAAATACTTTGCAACAGTTAAACAATGAGAACAAAGTTGTTTTGTTTTTTTTGTAAGTTAGTGAGAACATGATGGTTTATAAAGATTTTAATCTACTGACACTAGCTTATGTTTAGAAAAAAATGTCTTATCTAAATTGAACAACCTTTTGGGCTATTTTGTCTTGCATTCCAGTTCTCCTTCTACTGGACATGCAAAAAGAGCAACTTTCCGGTACAAAACACAGTCCTCTGCTGAGGAATTAGTTCTGAACCGCTGTGTGACTCAGTCCAGCCCATGGAGCAGACCTTTTGCCCCTCTCCATGAAAACACAACACAAACCACCACCCTGTGTGTGTGTGTGTGTGTGCGCATGTGTGGGTGCAGTACTGTTGGTCTGTCAGCCCATCTGACAATACCTCCTTTCACTCCTCCGAGCTTCAGCCCGTCTTTGTTGTCAGAGGTCAGCAGCAGCTCTGTGATACCCCTCGACAATAACGCCTAAAGAGAGGGAGGATAAAAGAGACGGCCAAAACAAGCAGTTGAGCTGTTTCCTCAACACAGTTGAAATTGTTCTAAATGTTCCGATTTATTTTCACTGTGTTCCCCACCTCCTGTACGAAAGGCATGTACTTGTCATCTGTGGCGTAGGAGCCATATTCGTTCTCAACTTGAACTGCTATGATTGGGCCACCCTGAGAGTACTGCACATTAATTAGGCAAATAAAACACAAGACATTAGAGGATTTGATCCAGTTAGACTCTAATAACACAAAGAAAATGTTTTTTTAGTTACACTAAACCAAAGAAAAATAAGAGCAGAACAATCTAACTCATATCAACTGACACAAAATAATTGCAATTATATAATATAATAATTTTATCACATATTGCTCTATATTTACATACAGATATTCTAGAGGGCATCAAACAGGAAAGTAAATGTCAGTAGTTTATACATTTGCTCCTTCAACACCACAGTAATAAATATAGAAAAAGATTAAGTGTTGCATCATATCCCTTTTATTGGCCTGTGTCCTGTTTTCCGTTTAGATCTTGATAGATGGGTACAGAGTCTCATTGGCCATTTTCAGACGCAGCAAACAAAACACTGTAATTTCCTCTGCATACTTTCCTGAGCTGCCTCCTGTGCATCCAATAAAGCCAACATTCTGATTTCCGATTGCTGGAGAACAATAAAGCCATGTTTGAAATAGCAACTCAGGGGGAAAGTCTCAACTTGAGTTAGCAGACATTCAAAAAAGGTTACTTATAGGGAAAATGTTAAATGGGACCTAAAAAACTGACATACAAATTGTTAGAGATGTTTTTCTTTTTTTCGTAAGAGTAGTTATTTGTTACCAATATGTGTAATTTTTTTTTTAATCGCCAGATCCTATTTTGCTACGTTCTTTTAGCCTTCATATAATATCTGTTAAAAAGTAGAATACATATTTGTTTCCTATTTAAACAGAATAGAATGTCATTTAATCCTTAATAAATAATTTAAATAGCCAATATTCTCAAAGTAATGACAAAAACATACATTTTATGTATGTTTATAGATCAGAAAGTGAAAGAATATGCAGTAAAAATAAGGCTGGAGCTTTATGAACCAAACAGGCCTCAGTATGTGTCAGAACTGAGAAAACTCTCAAATAAATTGCATGAAATGTGCAGTTAATGCACAATTTTTCTGGGTGATATAAACTACATGACTTGTGCTACACAGGCTCTCATAACAAACATTGGAATAAAAAAAATGATTTGGTCGATGCACAAAATGGTAGCAGCTTGGGATTTGACACCAACAACTGTAGTGCTAGTAGAAAAGTATAATTTGTTACTTTCATTTTTTTCTCGCTGGATAGAAAAAAGAGAGATTTGGATGCAGCAATAATACTAGAGTCCAATTAAGTGTGGAGGGTGAGGTTAATGAGGGAAAACTTTCAGTCAGAAAGAAAACATTCCACCAGTCAGAGCCCTGAAATGCTAAAATCACACATAACTTCAATGTGACTGTCGTTCCCAGGTCATCTGAAGCATGAAGTTCTAAAACTGATATTTGTCTCACTTTCTGAAGGCACTAGCCGTGCTGTAGAGCTTACACTTCACTGTACAGCACACAAACAGGAACAAGTTGAGGTTTGATCTCAGCTTAGAAAGTTTTCCTTGCTACACATTTATACTTTTGCCAACATGACCGACTTCCTGCTAAAATGACCTAAAACAATATTTATAACACTTCTTTTTTATTGGGTTTTTCCAAGTAAAATGACCAGATCAGATTATTAAACTACAGCTTAAACAAATCTAACAAGCATCAAAGATGGAGTTATATGTATCCTATTTTTTATTCATACGTTTATTAAGTACGATTTTTGTCCTTATTAATAAAATATAGTTGCATCATAGTTATTAAGTTACTTTGTCAGAATACACCTAATAGTCTGTGGTGGAAGGCCAGCGTGTCCAGAGTCCTCGACATCAGAGCCCCTCTAAGATCCTACAAGACATAGAAAATCTATAAAAGAATGAATAAATACAGCGTACCTGATATGGAGTTATTTTTTTTATTAGTTTATCGAAAAAGGAGTTGACTGCATCTGTGAATCCTGAGTAGGTCGTTCTCAGCTTCATGTTGGGATCTCGTAGCAACCAGCTGTAAAATCAAATCATGACAAATAAGTGCTGGTCATGCTGTGAACTTTTCTTTGGGTTTCTAACAAAATAAATGGCACCTTGTTAGGAGGTCATTCCTCATGGTGAGTCTTTCCAAACATATTATATTAATGATCATCCGCTAAGCAGAAACTAAACCTATTATTCCAATAGCAGTCCAAGTCTTTTCAGCCAACAGTTACCCAATTATCGGTGTGAGCTTATTTTGATTACAGAAATAAATGAATTCATCCTTTAAGCGATAAGGCCTTCCAGATTTAATTATTGGCTGCTCAGATAACTCTCTAAAAGTCATCAGTGGCTTTCAGCAAAGTAATGGAAGTGCTTTATTGAAATTGTGTGTATTTTATTGTCTTCTGTGCCTGATTAATTCAAAACATGCTCAAGTGTTACTGTATGCGGTTCTCAGTCACTGAGAAAATAAAAAGTTAACTTCTAACACATATTCTAAAATGCAATCTTAAAAGTTCTCTTGAATTTTTAGCTGATAACTGGCTCATTTAAATAATCAGTTTCAGGTCAAATATCATATTAAATTATGTTACTAATCCTTTAAAGTATATAAATTATGGGGCTGGGTTTTTGCGTGTGTTTTTACCTAGGCAGACCCCCCAGATCCCATTCAGCGCAGATGTACGGCCCGGGACGTATAATTACCCAGAGGCCCAAGCTTGCTGCAAGGCGAATGTAAGCTCTACGAAGAGAGGAAAAATATATTTTTAAAAATCATTTCAAAATTCAATAACATATTAAAGTGGATCATAGTTCTCAAATTGAGATGAAGTTCATGTTTAACAACAAATCATTTCTAAAATTCATCCCCCTAATTCTCTAATCAAATACTGATCGCAGACATTTGTTTTTTATTATTGCCTCGGTGGAAATCAACCTGTGTCATTGATCAATGTCAAAATTAGAGACTAAAACACACAGCAAACAGAATGGAAAAACTGCTTTTTTAACAGTAACAATGCAAATGTCAGATAGGGGCTTTTCCTATGCAATAGCGCCCTCTGCAGGACACTGGGTTTACTTCATTTAAACCTATACTGTATCTGACTTTGCTTTAGCAGTTCTTACTCCAGATCCAGCTCATCCTTAAAGTCAAACACCCCTCGCTCTGGCTCATGCAGGTTCCATGGCACATAGCTGAAAAAAGGCATAAAGAATAATCATGTTAGTGCTTTTAATATTTCATTCATTTTAACAATTATAAATATCTTGTTTTTTTATTTTGTATTCCCTTAAACTGTTCTTTACAGAAGTACAACTCTTGAGACTCTAATCTGTTGGCCTTAACATAGTCAGATAAAAACCATGCTGTGTTTTATTATCTGTCTCGCTCTCTTGACCTTTGCTCCTTGACATGTTTTACACCATGGCTGGGTTACACGGAGCGCTCACGTTGTCAGAGTGTTGATGCCGCAGGCCTTCATCTTAAGCAGTCGGTCCTCCCAATAGGCTCTAGGAACGCGAAAGTAATGGACAGAGCCTCCCAGGATGCGGAAAGGTTTTTTCTCCAAAGTGAACTGTGGGGAGTTTGCTCTTAGGCCCTCTACACGCTTCATTCTTGCTTTTGGTGGATGGTTTCTGAGGAGAAAAGGCAAATGCAAAATTATTTCGAAGGTATATGAAATACATACATCATATATGAAGCATATTTTCAATTCACCTGCGTAGATATCTCTTCAGGGTATCACCAAGATAAAATGTTTGTATGTGCTTGTGTTATCTTGGGTTTTATTATAGTTTTTTTTTTTTTCTATCAATCAGTAAAGGAAGGCCACGCCTATTTGGTGATGTAAGGTCAGCAGGCAATCAATTCATGTAGGAATCAGTATCCACACATTTATTAGTTTTTTATTCTACTTTTCTTAACTTATGCAATAAGTTGTGGCCAAATACTGAATGGGGCAATAAGCAGATAATTTATTAATTTCCTAATTAATTTTTCCCAACTTAATCCTTTGAACGTATTCAATTTCACATACTTCATTGATATATTTTAAAGATGAATATTTATCTATGATATAGCTGAAATGTTAACACTTAGTCACTGCTTAACTGGAAGCATGACTGGATATTATCATCTGTATGTTTAAACTGGTTCTTGAAGTGGCTCAGACAAACTTTATTGTCATTTTGTATGCACTCTGTGCATGAAGAACGATGATGCAAAAAAAGGGCCATAATGTTCATTAAGTGGCTGTGCTGTTTGAATTTTACATTTTAAACAATTGTGTTTAAACACTGTATCTTTTATTGCAGCGGAGCAAAGTCAATGTCCACCATACTTAGAGGTCAACACAACTGGATTTGATCAAGTCAAATAAAAAATAAAAAATACATTGAATTTTCTATTCATAAACCTTCATATCTAATTTAGATGTAGTTTGTTACTTTATGAATGTAGCTATGGATTAAGACTGAGATAAATTGCTAATATCAGTAAATATACGCCACTGGCCAAAAGATTTAAAACTGAAATAATAACAGTATTTTTTTGCTTTAAAAACAAAAGATCAATAGTATTATTGTAGAAATGAACGATTTATCGGCCTGCTGATCAATCTGCCTCGATTCTCTTAATTTTGGGAGGTAGATGATCAGCAGATAGTTAATGTAAAACTGATCTTTTCCACTGATTTTATCTACCTCTGCAAAAACCAGGAAATCATCCTCTGTCAAGCATCTAAACTTTGATTTATATTTGAGAGCGGTAGTTTTTATTGTCTCGTGGATACTGATTAATGTATTTTAGTAGGATAAGATAGAAGTATTAAACAGCTGACTGTGTCAGTTATAAAAGAATCTGGATCAGCATGTCAGGCTTTTTATCTATACCTCATGACAACCATTCGTGGCCCACTGAGCAAAAATTGGTTGAATTGACATTGAAAAGACGGCATAATTTATGTCCAAACAACACCTACATTTGGTTTTAAAAGTCAAAGGTGAAAAACCTCAATTTTCAGGTCATTAAAAAGACGTGGAAAACTGTGTTTTCAAAGTTTGTTATAGGACAGAAGTGGGACAAAACCAGACAAACCAAGCACAGCCCAAATTCAACAATTTTTGGACTAAATCAAGACTATGACGGACCGACCAGATTAGCCAAAAAACCCTAAATAACATCTGGTGTTTTGGGGGGAAAGGTGTTGCACACTTAGCTTCAGATGCACTGAGGTATGATCACCATTTTATGGCAACTGCAGTCAAGTGATCAAGCCTAACATGACCATTCTGATTTTGGACAATATGAATGATTTCTTTTTAACAGTTTTTATAGGATCTCGATACACCTTGGGAGTTTCAATCTTGTTTTATTAAGATGTAAATGTTTTTACTAGTTTATGTGAGAGCTTTTCACTAGTGTTTTTGTGAGGTTTTCAGTAGGTTATATAAGAGATAAATGTTTTCACTATAGTTTATGCAAGAGCTTTTCACTAGTGTTTTACACATGTTTTTCAGTATATTATATGGAAGAGTTTAATAAGAATTTAATATCTGTATATGCAAGGTAAGTCTGATTTATGTCTCTGGGGGCACCTCATACTTAAGAGTCACAATTGACTCTTTGGTTCTTTGTCTCACTAAATATATCAAACCATGAGCTGATTCTGGTTTTTTTTTTATGCTTTTACTCTGTGCCCAAATGTAAAAGCACTGGGCCCACCCTGGCCCCTCTAGTATATTTAGTCTAGAACACCAACTGACACACACACACACACACACTGTCCTTTAGGATGTGTCAATAGAGATTGTGTCTATATATTGTTTGAAAACCCTTTGATGTGATAAGATATAAGACATTTTATTAATATGCATTGTAAAACAAATTTTGAGTTTTATTTAACTGTTGCCTTGGAAATCCTTCTTGATCAGGGTTTTTAGTCTCTAAAGTTTTGGCCCAAAAACAGTATTGGATTATGCTGGTCATTTTATTTCATCAGTTTATGGCTTTTATAGTAGGCTTTTAAAGCAATGTAGATCTGATAAATAAAAATAATAATAAAACAATCAAAAGCACTTAAAAATTTTTTGTTTGTTTGTTTGTTTTTGCATTCAACTTCACTAAAACGTTTTAACACATTTTAAAAGTCTACAGCGCGGCATCGGTTCATTTTAAACTACTTTATTGGTTCATAAAATAGATAAAAACAACATTCAAAGATTACCCTGCTGGAAAACCAGCAAATATGATTAAAAGCTCTGACCAATCTTAATCAATCCTGATTATGGTGTCGTTTCATACGTTTGCATTCATTTTTAAGTGGATATTCCTGTTTTGGTTTCATGTCATTGAAACCTGGATTATGGCGCAGCATAGAGGCGCACGTGGCGCAGACTGCTGACAGGGGGGCGGGCCCTGTCACAAACTCACGCTTCCTTTCAAATGTAAACTAAAGAAACCAGCCTTCCTTACCTCGTAAAATGATAAGCGGTTATCGCCACAACAGCGATGCAAAGCAGGAGAAAATATCGTTGCTTTAAGGACAGACGGACACCTAAAAGCGGAGACTTTTCCATGGACCAAAAACAGTGGATTACTGTTTCCTGGGACGTTCAGCAGAGCGCCTATCTGATCACAGTCCTCTCCACAAAACAAAACAAACAGAAAAAAAAAAAAAGAAAAAGCAACGAGTCACACAGCGTCATAAGACGCTGCACGTTAAACTCTTAATAAAGAGCCCATACCTGTCCATTTTAGGTGAAAAGTAACGTCTGGATATCCGAGCAGTCATCAAGCACTGTGAATGATTTACCTAAAGGGAAGGAGGCTGAGGAAGTAACAGCGCTACGTGACCAGAGCCACCGGTTCTCTGCTTAGGAAGCGTCACTAAATCATCCTGCTGTTAAAAAACGAATACCATTGTTTAATAATAAATAAATAAGAAATAATGTATGCAATTAAGTAAATAAATACATAAATAAACAAGAATCTATAAGGAAACACCATCATCTTCGGCTAGAATAATATTTTTCTTTTTTAGGAATTAAATCATCTATATTTCTGTAAGATTTATCAGCCCTAATCTGTGGATTTCATTTCAGAAACCGTGGAGGAAGAGTGGTTCCACAGATCCACCAACATCTTGATAAAGGTGAATATTAGAGGTGGGAACATCATGGTGAGGGCACGCTGATAAAACTGAATCCACACCTAAACGATGCACACTGATGATGATTCAGGTTGCAAATGTCAAAGGTATAGTGGACGATGTTCTTTTTTTCCAGGTGGATCATCAAAATTATTGGTCCTCCTTATTAGACTTCTGAAGGACATAAGGACCCCTATTTCATCATTCTGCTTCATTCTATCTGTATTTTCCCACTCTGCATAATCTGTTATTTTAATCTCTAACGTTATGCTCTCTCTGCTTTTTCTAATAGTAGCTTCCCCTCATGTGTCCATGTTTGGCTGTGACCCCATCCTGGAGAGAAATATTAGCTGTGCTGCTGCCATCAACACCTTTGTTTATAGATGTTGGAGATTGGCCTGTTTTTCAGTGTAGTCCTGTTTCTCTGACTGTGACTGTCTGGATGTGCTCTCTTCATCCTCTGACATGGGAGCTGGCTCAGAGCTCGTCTGCCTGGCTGTGTGTTTCCTGGACCGGGCCGCCTTTAAGAGTTGCTTTTTGTATCTCTGTTTCCGTCTCCTTGAACCCCAGTCGGTGTCAGCAGATGGCCGCTCACACTGAGCCTTGTTCTGCTGGAGGTATCTTCCTGTTAAAAGGGGGTTGAGTCAATGAGTCGGTGCAATCAACTGGTTTTCCTTAGATAGAAAACTTTGAATCAATTTGACTGTATGATCTGGTGAACTGTAAAGTGCCTTGAGATGACATGTGTTGTAAATTGGCGCTATATAAATAAACTGAATTACTTGTCAATCATTCTGGTGATATGTTTATGTAAGGCTGTGCTAAGTTCTCATCCCCATTTTCATTTACCGGTGGTGAGTCTGACATAGTAGAAAAAATAAAAAATCTTCTTTTTGAAAGAGAAACTTGTATAAGAAAAGCAAACAGTAACTTTTAAACAGAGCGTAAAATGAAATGGGATTGTGCACGCTATAGTACCCCTTTAATAGGCATTCCCTCTCAGGAGCAGGTAAAGGGTTCTACATGTGTTGTTGTGTTTTTATTGGAGTGGGTGGTTCTTTTCAAAAATTTGCGAAATACCTCCCCTATACCTTAAGTGTATAAGAGCATGTAGACCTACATGTATGATGGCTAGCTAGCGGCTGGCTAGCTCAGGTTGTAAGTCACCCGTCCTGCAAACAGGAAGCCTGGGTTCGTATAGGAATGAGCTATAAGTGTGGGTCATTTGGCAAGGCCCTTCACGCTAATCCCTGCTTTGGGGAGTGGTGGCCTAGTGGTTAGGGCATTGAGCTTTGAATCCTGAGGGTCTGAGTTCAAGCCCCATTCCCACTGACTGCCACTCCGGCTCCCTGAGCAATGCCCTTAACCCCACACTGCTCCAGGACGCCACACAATGGCAGCCCACTGCTCCCCAAGGGGAAGTTAATTTCATTGCTCTGTACTTTTGACAGTGTAATTACAAAAAAATGCTGTAATGACCAGAATCAGAATAACCACAACTTATCACAGTTTGATTATGTAAAAATAACCATTGGTGTATTCTTTTTTGTAACCTGTGTCTGTATAGCTTGGTACGCTTGAATAACGCTGCTCTAACCTACCAACAGAAAGAGAGAGAGGGTATTATGACCCTGTTGTTCTCCAACAATATCCACAGTGTTTGAGGCCTCCCAGCACCATTTGACTCTCAGTTGCTCTCTGATCAGCCTCACAGTGGTTTTGTTGCAATCTGGATTTCCTCCAATATTTTGGGACACTAAAGCTAAGGCTTGGTAAGGCCACATCTTAATAAAACACAATGTTTCTGACACTTTATGTTAGAATTTATGTTTTCTAGAGTGTTGAAATTCATTATAGCTTATATGACATGTATTTTTCTCTCTTTTTTTATTCCAAAAGATCTCAAAGTCAACTGAAGACAATGGCCCATCTAGAGGGTTTGAGGGCCGACTCCTCTCAATTCACTCTGAGGGGGCAGCCCTTCCGCATCCTGGGAGGCTCCATCCATTACTTCCGCGTGCCCAGACCCTACTGGAAGGATCGACTGCTGAAGATGAAGGCCTGTGGACTCAATACTCTTACAACGTGCGTATGCCTGTTAAAAAACACCAAAAGGGATTAAATATCTTTCAATAATAATTTCTTCTTAAGTATTTACTTTTTTTTGCTTATGAGGATTTTGGATAAGTTTAGAAAAATAAAGACTGATAAAGAAACATCTTTTGAATGTTGGGTTTAGGAAAAGTATCTAACAGCTGTTCAAAGGTTGATACTTTTAAAAGGCTTTTAAAAAAAAAAGTAAGCAGTGATCAAAATGGAACAGAAATTCAGCCAATTTAGAAGAGAAAACTTCTGTGCAGGTGAGACTTTCATACTGAAGAAAGCTGCATTTACTGTAAAGCATAAAAGTAGTATCATCATTCTCAGGTTCTGCTTTGTGAACAGATGGTACCAGTTTGCACCAAGTACATAGAGATATGGATAAGATGGGTGACCTTTTAAATGATTCAACTTTACCTCAAATTAAGACCAAGGTGGTATAAACCTGAACACAAAAAGACAATGATGCCACTTTAAAACAGATTTTTTTCCCCTTAAAACCTGATTTACATTAAATGCCTGGGATGAGTCTTAACTTAGCCACATTGCTGTATCATTTACTATGCCGGAAGTCAAATGCATGCTAGGAAATTAGTATTTCTGAGTTGTTTTGTTGTATTTAATAACTACATATTTTACTCAGAACTATTCCAGGAGGTTTGGGTATTACTTAATGCAAAGGGATGCAAATATCTGATACTGTAATCACAATTTTAAGCTGCTGTGCATCAGAAAAAAGAAATAAAATAAATATAGACTTTTGCAGCCATCTTGTATTTTCAAAATAGTTTTTCATATTACTGTTTAAAACTGAAAAGGGGAAAAATTTAAACAAATCGTTATACGTAGCCTTAAATTGCTAAATCACTGATGTTGAGTTAGTTCAACGTCTGACCACCACTGTGACCTGTTTCATATTTTTTTTAACTTGTTCTAATCTAACAATGATGAAATTTTTCCCTTTGGTCTGTTTTTTTTTTTAGATATGTACCATGGAATCTGCATGAACCCGAGAGGGGAGCATTTAACTTTCAAGATCAGCTAGATCTCAGGAAAGGCTCTGCATAAACATATTTTAGTGGATTACATAAAAAGACTTTAAGAGTTATTAGAATAAGTAATTTCTGTGTGTCTTTCAGAGCGTATGTGAGCTTAGCAGCAGAGATAGGTTTCTGGGTGATCCTACGGCCTGGACCGTACATCTGTGCTGAGTGGGACTTGGGTGGCCTTCCAAGGTGATGACACCAAACTATTACCCTGAAGCTGAGCTTATATTCAGTTTGGTATATTCATGTTTAAATAATACCTTTTACTTTTTTCTTCTTTTTTTTTCTCAGCTGGTTGCTACAAGATAAAGATATGCAGTTAAGGACAACCTACCCTGGATTTGTAAATGCTGTCAATGTGTATTTTGACAAACTTGTCTCAGTTATACAACCCCTGATGGTAACTGCACTACCCTGATTTTATATGTGTTCTTGTTAAAAGGACATTCAGTCATTTTACTGTAGCATGGTGTATTTTCAGTTTGAAAATGGAGGACCAGTCATTGCTCTCCAACTTGAGAACGAGTATGGCTCATATGCTAAAGATGAGGAGTATATGCCTTTCTTAAAGAATGTGAGTTAACTGCTAGCTTTGTTGGGAATTGCCTGTCTTTATTTGAATGCATTTGGTTTTTCCTCCTTTTCTGACTTCCACATATATTCTAGTGCCTCCGATCTAGAGGGATCAATGAGCTCCTATTGACCTCTGACAACTGGGAAGGTTTGAGATACAAAGGGATGGAAGGAGGTAACTACATAACTCCTGACAAAACATGCAGCACATCAGGTTATTTCTTGGTTATACTCTGCTCTTATTCTCATTTAAAATGTTTGTGAATTTGAACATTTCAGTTCTAAAAACAATAAATCTTCAGAGGCTGTCATTTGGAGCCATTCAGCACTTAGCCTGCATGCAGGTAAATAATAGTAATGGATGATTTGATGATCTTTACAGCTTTAGAATGTGAAAAAAATGCTTTGGTAGACATTCAACTGTCTTGAAATAAATGTGTCCCTTACTCCAATAAGATTCCACAAACAATTTTGAGGCAACATGTACACCCTTTAAATTTAGAACAATCTTTCAGCTGGTGTGAAACAGCTTTTTTCCGAAAAATATCAGCATAAAAGTCATACCAGCAAACGTAATCACGCCGATTCTCCTAAACTCTACTTAAACTTTGTGGTTTGGTCAGATGTGTGCCAAATTTTTGCTTTTTGAATCTGAATTTAAAAAAAAAAGAATGTTCTGAAGATGCCTAATGGAGGAGAATCAGAGACACAAGGAACCTATTTAGGTTGCATGCTGCCAAGGACTAATTTCTGATAAAAAAAATATTAACCTGTCAGAAACATAAACTCGGCCATCAACACCACAAAGATTCAAAACATATAAATAAATCATTAACACACATTTCCCACACAAACAAAAAAAATGCCTTCTCGTGTAACCATCTCAGGAGATCAGTCAAATATCTGTCTCTCCATAAAAGTTGTTTTTATTTATATATTCTACATGTTTGTAATGGATGCCAACCAATCTGTTCTTTGATTCTATTGTGTTGTTTAGTCAGTGTTAGATGGGATTTCTAATATATATATATATCACACATACATCCTTTTTCAGCCCCAGAAACCTCTACTGGTGATGGAGTATTGGTCTGGGTGGTTTGATGTCTGGGGAGAGCATCATCATGTCTTCCATGCAGAAGGTACTAAAATTGTATTTTTATTCAGAACTATTTGGGTTTCCAGCATCAGCTTAAGTCACTGGATTTTTTCTGAGATTACATTTAGTAAAAAACAGCTTTTTTGCCTCTATTTTCTATTTAAATGCTTAGTTATACTCATGTAAAGCTGCACAGTTCTTGCTTTATGCACCATCTCATATATTCCATATGTGCTGATAGACATGCTGGGTGTGGTGTCTGAAATTTTGGAGAGAGGAGTTTCTGTTAACCTTTACATGTTTCATGGTGGGACCAACTTTGGCTTCATGAATGGAGCAATGGACTTTGGCGCTTACAAACCTCAGGTCACAAGTTATGGTAAGGAAAGGGACTTTAGAGCGCAGAACTCAAATAGGTTTTACAACAATAAATAAATGTATCTTATAGGATTCTTGTAAGATGAATGGTTTCTTGGCAGATTACGATGCTCCACTCTCTGAAGCTGGAGGCTACACTAAAAAATATGAAGTTCTGAGAGATTTATTCAGTCGGTACAACGGTAATTTCTTTAGGATCTCATTTAAACTGCCATTTAATTTGAATGTGAAGAAATAAACACCTGGTAATCAAATTATTGTTATAATTAAAGGCTGTAGGACGTAAGATTGGTTTTAATGAAATGTTTTGCCTGTTTGTGTTCCAGCTGAGCCTCTTCCTGAAGTGCCTTCTCCTCAGGAGAGGAAGGCTTATGAGACTGTGTCCACACAGCAGAATTTGTCTCTGTGGGACAGCATACAGTTCACAGAGAAGGTAAGCACCTTTCCAGTGGTATGAATACTAAATGATAAAACAAAAAAAATGAAAAGTTATTTTCACCAATGCATGCTTTGCTGGATTTTCTGGAATAGTCCTATAGGTAGGTAGTTATATAATTTAGGTGGACAGTTTTGAAAAGGACCAAACCAATATCCGGTTTGCTGCACAACCAGTGCACATTATGGACAAATGTGTTCATATCATATGAGACCAAAACTTTTTTTACTATATGGAAAAGATGATGGGCGTTGTAAAAGCATGGCAGTGGCAGCATCATGCTGTGGAGAGGATTTCCTGAGGAAAAGTATGCTGGTAATTTGATGGTTAGAGCTTAATACATGGATATTAAAGGACCATTTAAATCGCAGGATTTAAACTCCAGTACTTAAGGGCCTGTGTCCAGCAGCTTTAAGACGTTATTCTCTCATATGATACAGATGTGTTGATAAGGGACACGTCTAAGCCCTCGAGGACTTGAGTTTGACAAACCGTCTTTAGATGCAACAAAATACTTTAAAGTGGAGTAGTGGATTACTCAAGCAGTACAATGCCTGTGTTAAGCCAAAAGATTGGTTTGGATCAAAGCATAACTATACTAGATTGGGCCAATCTGGTCTGTTTTGCAAAGCTAAAGGGAAGTTTGTCTCTAAATGTATAAAGCAGTTAGAGACATAAAATAATTAGAGATAAAATAGTGGCAAAATTAAAAGAAAAAAAAATATGTTTAAGGGAAATGAGGACTCCATAGTGTCTAGTAGGAATGCACTGTTCTATATCATTACCTGAGACTAATATTTTTCATACCCTTTGGACAACATGGAGAACTGAAAACAGAGCTGAAATTGATTCTCTGCTTCGGTCAATCACCTGCAATCCTGAGCTGCATCACCGTTACGTAACCAAACAAATACCACATGGTATCTCTCAATCCAGGAATAAGAACAGCAACTACATGGAAATGATTATCGGATGATTATCGGAGGCCCAGTTTTACTTGTCTGACCAACACTGATATGCCTAAAACAAACATTGGCTGATACTGTTATTAATGATGATATATAGTGCATCCCTAGTGTCCAGTTTTTTTTAAGACTGTGCATCATTTTCTTTTGACATCACACTATTTTGTGTTGGACAGTCACATAAAGTCCAAGTGAAGTCTACTTTGTTAAATTCTGTCATTTTTGTCCGTTTATCAATACAGCCATTCAGGTCAGAGAGGCCTATAAACATGGAGAACCTCCCAGTGAACAACAACAGTGGTCAGTCGTATGGTTACACGCTGTATGAAACCAGCATCAGCAGTGGAGGAGCTCTGAACTCTGGGAACAACATCAGAGACAGAGCACTGGTAAAAACAAGGACCTTTATTCTAGAAAGCGGTTCAGACTAATGCTAAGTGGTGTTTTTGAATATAAACCTGAATGTACTGATGTTCTCCAGGTTTTCTTGGACAAACAATATGTAGGATGTTTGGACTACAAGACTCATGAAATCATGCTGCCTGATGCTGAGGTATTTTTTGTCATGTATTATGTGAACATCGAAGTACGTATTCCTTAAACAGAGACCTCATAGGCCGAGGATGTAAACATTTTACTCATCTTTGTGCTGCTTTAAAATACAACAATTTCCAAGATTAGATTATGTTTTTATTTTCTCACTGATTTTTTTTATAACAACAAGGAAGTTTAAAACTTCCTGGTTGTTCATATTCACTTTTCTGCTGAAGAAATGTTTTACATTAGTTTTTAAGATTCTCAATCAGAACTCTCCAGGGAAAAATTTATCGGTGTGATTCGCAGAGAGAGAGGACTTTGACTTTTCTTGTTGAAAACTGCGGACGAGTGAATTATGGTAAAGCTCTTGACAACCAACGCAAAGGTATTCAAGGATCACTGTCAGTTACTACACATCATGTGCTGCTTTACTTTTCTTTTCTCATATAACCTTTTTAAGCTATTTGAGAAAAAAATATTTTTTACAATTTAAGAAATGTTTTCATGGATCTTCAATATCTTGTACCACAAGAACTTGAAAAGACAAAAGTTGGTGTTTGCCTTGGTCTAACATGCTGTCTTATAATCTTGGATACAGGTATTGTGGGGGACATTGTTCTAAATGATACATGCATAAGTGGATTCAACATATTCTGTTTAGATCTGAAGCCAAGCTTTATAAAAAGGTTTGATTCTTTTATTTATTTTTTTTATTTACTATCTAATTTAATCTTTCTATTACATTATCCGCATGTGAAATATTATGAACCTAAATGAATAGTACTTTGGGCTTAATTTAGTATCTGGATCAATATATATATATATATATATATATATTTATATATATATATATATGTATATGTGTGTGTGTGTGTGATTAATTTTAGATTGTTGAGCACGGCACAGTGGAAAACCGATTTCAAGTCACCACCAGTGCCAGGATTTTTTATGGCCAAACTCATTGTGGATGATCCTCCAAAAGACACCTTCATCAAACTCCCTGTGAGTATCATTTAATAAAAAAATCTATTGGAGGCCAGATCTAAGCATAATTTTTGGCTTAAATTTTGACATTAAAAAAATAGAGCTTCCCACTGTGACAATTTTAAGCATTTATTCACAGGATTGGGGGAAAGGAGTTGTGTTTGTCAATGGCCAGAACCTGGGCCGTTATTGGTGCATCGGTCCGCAGCATTTCCTTTATCTCCCAGGTCCTTATCTCAGAAGTGGAGAAAATCAGGTACAATGTCCAAACTGGTTCATATTATCTTTAGTGATCTTTGGAATAAGAAAAGGAATTTGACTTTTGCTCTCATGTAGAGTTTTCTTTTTGTGTGTGTGTGTGTGTGTGTGCATGTGTGCGTGTGTGTGTGTGTGTGTGTGTGGGTGGGTGTAGGGCATAATGTTGAAAATATAACCCTTAGTAGGCCCTTGTGCAGCCTACTGCCTGGATCCAACGAGGGCAATTGCTGCTTTTGAATCAGGGGTCACATTTTGGACTAAAGTGTGAGTTAAGTTTAGGTTGGGGTTAGGGTCATGACAGGCAGTATAAATTAATGGAAGTCAACTGAAAGGCCCTGCAATGATAGTGAGAAAAGATGTTATGTGTGTCTGGATGTGATCTAGACTTAAATGTTATATGACATGTTTTTTTTCTGTTTTTTTTTTCTTCAGATTATCGTTTTCGAAGAAGAAAAAGTTGGTGGCAAAATTCTGTTTTCTGAAAATCCTGAATATGGAAAAACTATTGATGTTTACAAACTTCCCTTTTGCAGTTTGCTGTAACAACTGTACACAGATAACTCTTTGCCACGGTAGATCTACAGAAACTAATGTATTAATCATTAGTACCGAAACTGAATATGAGCAGTATAAATCAGTTAAACACTTTAGTTATGTTTCTTTTTGCTATTTTGCAGCAGTTTTTATTAATTATATTAAGGACTAAATGCTTTTTCTATTGATTATTTTTGTTTCATAAACTGTAACATTTTGCAGCATATACTGTTCAATGCAGTGTTCTTGTTCTGACAATAAACACAAGTCATCATGTGTATCTCCACAGTGTCGTTGTTTTTTTTTAGATGTTGTCAATATTATGTTGTGCTATTTTAAATTACAATCACCTTGATTTTTCTACATTTTCCACCAATGTGTTACTGGCCCTGCCAAATAAGTCACAACATTGTCAGTGAAGCTGAGTGCTCTCACATCTCTTCCTTCATTGTGCCCATCTACATTAACCTCTTCAAACCCACCTCATATTGGGAAATTCTCACCTATTTTGCATACCCAAATGCAAAAGCAAATAACTTAGGAACTGTAAGCCCAAATTGCATGTGCAATACATTATTTGAAAAAAAGAAGTCAGAATTCTGATTTTAAAAAAGTCAGAATTCCGAGGAAAAAATAGTTGGAGATTCAGAATTCTGAGAAAAAAAGTCAGAATTCTGTGATAAAAGTCAGAATTCTGACTTTTTTTCCCCATATTAAACTGAAATAAAATTCAAAAATCAGTTAACTTTTATTTTTGCAGTGGCCCAAATCCTCTTCCGTATTAATCATATTAAACTGAAATAAAATTTAAAAATATTTTTTTTCCAGAGGCCCTAATCCTCTTCCGTAGATCTGATAGGTGTAGTATAAAACGTGTGAAGTAACAGGACTTCTCATTGGTCAAGGAGGTTGTCTATCCTTACTCCCAAACTACAGGCTCATTACAGTCATATTTCAACTACGGAAGCGACTTAAGTACACGGAATATTAGTATTGACTTTCAAAATAAAAATAATGCCCTTGTAATTTTATTTGTCATTGGAAAAAGACAGCACTAATTTGATTGAAAAGTAATTTTATTTACAATTTGAAAATGAGCGAACAACGTTTTCCGTGTATAGATCCTAACCCTTATCTTAAGACGTGTAGCTTTTATGTTGAATTTTATTTTGAAATTCAGTTTTCGGAAGTTGTATAGTAGTCATGGCTGACTTGACCTGAATAAGGAGGCTGATATTCCTGCAGGTGAAGGAGTGTTTATGCCAGATAAACTTGTTTAGGTCTCGTCAGGATCCCCTTTAAACAGCATTTCTCTGCCAACCAAACCTTGGAACGCTGTGTTTCAAATGAACTTTCCAGATAGCTTGTATAAAAATGAGTCTATAGCTGTTGTAGACTCACATTTACAATATTGTAGCCTAGCTTAAAAAGTCAGCTGAAGTGAAATAGTTGGAGATAGATTTTTTTTTAGCTTTCTTTAGCCGAGTTTGGATTTAATAAGCGGGTTTTTGTTTCTTCCGCATGTCGCCATGGAGTCGTTCGGATGTATTTCCAGTGTCCTCGGCTGCTCTGCTTGCATTGCACTGGCTGGGCTTGTGTTTGCTGCCTCCAAACTCGGCTTCATTTACCAGTTGTTTCACAAGGTAGGTTATAAAAAAAAAAAATAAATCAGCACCAGCTTCAAAACTTACAACTCTTTCTATATATATGTGGATTTTATCAAAGCATCTGTGATGTGCTTACTGTGTGGAAAGTATTTAGTAATGCTGTCGGTGCTGTTGTTGGGAAAGAAAAGCCTGAGGTGTATTCATATAAACTTTGTCCAGCTCTGCGGTTGCCTCATAAAGGCTATCTAAGCACATTGGTTGTTTGAGGGATCACAGCTGCAGGCCTGAACAATAAAAGCTGCTGTTGTCAAAAGGAGAGAGCGACAGGTGACCTTGGGAAGGGCTGTCATGTCACAGGGGAAACTGTTTATATAAAGTTTGTGGTTTTAAAAGCTCTTGATTGTGTCAAATCGGGGAAACATTGCCAGCTTTTAGATTATATCCAATGCTGCTGTGATGCTCTGTGATACTTAGTGATGTCACAACCAATAACCTCTATGTATTTTCCAGGATTTTTTGGAAGAAGTGGAAGTGTGACCAGCTTTTTTTTTTTTTTTTTTTTTTTGTTCCCATCAGGGAGATTTGCATTGAACCACCTTTTTCTCTTATTACCTCATATTTTAGGCAGTGGTGCCAAAAGTACACACATTTGTTACTTAAGTAGAAGTATAGATACTGCAGTTTAAAAACACTCTGGTAAAAGTTGAAGTATCAACTTGACCTCTTTACTCAAGTTTGAAAAGGACCAAACCAATATCCGGTTTGCTGCACAACCAGTGCACATTATGGACAAATGTGTTCATATCGTATAAGACCAAAACTTTTTTTACTATATGGAAAAGATGATGGGCGTTGTACTGATGATGTGCTTTATACTTACTTACTCAAGTAAGTAAGTATAAAGTAACTTAAAAAAAAAACAGCCAGATGCCACTATATGAATTGAAAGCTCAATTTCTCGACTATAAATAGAATAATAAATAATAAAATTCTTGGAGATGGGGCCAAGGATTAGGGACCCTTCAGACATTTCGACATCTTTTTCTGAATCCGACATTGTAGCATGGCATAGACAATTCGTGTTTGCAGTTTGAAGAACACCTGCTTGCTTCTGATGATTTCCTTTGGCGTCAGCACAAATTTGACGTATAGCTAACCAATGGGTTTTGCGTTATATGACTCATCCAATGACACTAGTTTTCACTAGATGTGGAAGGCACCAATGATCTGCATTGGATGGCGCACATGACGTGAAATAAATATTTATAAACATTAAACTGAAGCCAAGAGTAACAAGTAATGTTTGTTTTAAATCATTTATATCAGCTGTGCTGCTGCCATCAACAGCTTTGTTTATAGATGTTGGAGATTGCCCTGTTTTTCAGTGTAGTCCTGTTTCTCTGGCTCTGACTAACTGGATGTGCTCTCTTCATCCTCTGGCGTGGGAGTTGGCTTGGAGCTCGTCTGCCTTGCTGTGTGTTTCTTCGACGGGGCCGCCTTTCACAGTTGCTTTTTGTATCTCTACTTCTGTCTCCTTGAACCCCAGTCGGCCCCGGCAGATGGCCGCTCACACTGAGCCTGGTTCTGCTGGATGTTTCTTCCTGTTAAAAGGGAGTTTTTCCTCTCCACTGTCGCTACAAGCATGCTTAGTCTGAGGGATTCAATTTGAGTCAATGAGTCGATGCAATCAACTGGTTTTCCTTAGACAGAAAACTTTGAATCAATTTGTCTGTATGATCTGGTAAACTGTAAAGTGCCTTGAGATGACATGTGTTTTAAATTGCCACTATATGAATAAAGTGAAATGAATTGAATTAAAAATGTAAGGAATAGAAAGTATAGAATAGTACAGTACTTGTTTGAAAACGTAATGAGTAGAAGTCAGAAGTAGGGAGAAGAATAAGTAATGGAGTAAAGTATAGATACCTAAAAAGTACTTAAGTACTGTACACTTAAGTACAGTAACAAAGTATTTGTACTTTTTTAATTAACACCTGATTTTAGGGTAATACGTTTCATCCAGAAATGGAACATTCAGCATGTTTTTCTTTGCCAACTTTGTCAGATTGGATGGAGAGCACTTCTACGCCGTCGGATTCAGCTGTTAATTTTCCCTGGGCCGATCTTGCATGGAAAACCTTTAATTGAAACCATTCCTGACATAAACATGCTGTAGGTTGGAAGGAGAATCTCAGCCTAAAATGTCTTGCAGGCTGTCAAATGTTTTCTCCCAATTAACTCTGAGCAGGTCATCTGTGCTGAAGAAAAGCCTCCATGCAGCATGATGCTGTTACAGCCATGCTTTAACATACAGATAAAATATTCTGGAAGATTTGCAGTTAGTTTGTTCTCCTGTCTGTATAGTTTTAATGTAGAGCTATAACCCCTGTGTGACCTTGGCAGTTTCTTCCACATGAATGTAGCAAACATTAAATAGGGCATTTTAGTTTGCTTTAAATGATGGATTTCCTCTGGTTGATTTTCTATCATTGCAATAATTGTAGTCTAAATAAACACTGCCCAGCAGCTCAAAATATTTTGCGAGCTTTGATTTCTCCATGTTTGTTTCAAAAGACCTCTGCAGGGTTGCAAAACTGTTTCCATTCAGAGTTTTATTTATATTTCATAAAGATCTTGCAGAGATGATGTGTGAGTAGCACCAATTTTTTCTCTAAAACATTAAAAAATGTGAGACATGCTCAAGGTCAGTTCAACCAGTGTTTTTAAGGAATGTCTTGTGTTCCTTGAACTACTTTTGCATGATATAAGTTCATGGTATTTTCATCTTTGAATAAGCCCTTGCCACTAGGGGAAATAATTTACAGTACAGTTAGTCATCCTGCTAACTGCAGTGACCTCAGAGCCCAGGAAGACGCTCACAGGCTTGAGCAGTGTGGACTAGGAATGATTTGTTCATCACTTCATGCGCTGCTGATGTGGCTGTTAATCAACAGGGCAAATCTTAACTCATCAGCTCAATCATCACCTGTTGCTTAGATGTCCTGTTAAGGCTACTAAGATCTCATGCCGTGTTGTTTTCTTTTACATTTTCTCTGAGATGCACTCATTCAGTTTTTTTCTCAATCCGATAACGTAACCTGGGCAATATAAATGATACCAATGTGATCCAAGGGTTGAATAAATGAACCGTATATCTTTTCATCTAAGTGAAAGCTTCAGATTTGATATAAACATTGTTGTAAAAAGAAATGTAACAATTTAAAACTGATATAAATATAATTGTTTACATGGGCAGCAAAAAGAACCCCTTTAAAGTGCGCCGGATTAGATCTCCGATATCTAAGCCAGGTTTTAGATCGGTGCGTTTCTGATTATACCCCACCTGGCTGATATAAGAGTTTTCCTAACCACATGTCGTCCACAAAGATGGTCCCCCATTATACGTCAATTTTGTTCGATATAGGATGGACAATACTGAATACTGAAACCAATTCTCATTGTTTCAGCCAAAAATGTTTTCTTTGCTTGATCCATGTCAGTAAAATAATTCTTCTGAAACAGATTTTTCTTTTTTAGCTCACAAAGTATCTTTTAAGATGTTTGGTTAGGAGTGGAAAAGCTACTCCCTCGTCCATGTAGTACTACTTGCTACTTTAATACTTTTTGGACAGGCAGCAGAGTT